GCTCCGCACAATCGCCGCGCACATGCTACTCTTGAGTGGATTCGCCGACGGCAAGGAGACGAAGAATATACGACCAGTGGGGGCGCCTCAGGCAGCGGTTCAGCACCAGCACCTTCGGGAGGAGACCTTCCCGGGCTGCCGGCGCCTGTTGCTGACTCAGCTGCTGCCGCTGACCCCGCTCATGACCCTGCTCATGCTCAAATACAAGCCCAAGAAGACCCAGATCGCGTTGAAGATCCAGCTCCAGAACCCACTATGCAACCAGAAGTACACGATGAACAGCCTGAAGAACGCGATGGGGTACGATTTCCACCACCAGGAGCTCGACGCACAGAAGCTGATGGACACTCATCGGATGCCGACAGCTCCGGATCCGAAGGGCTACGCGACTGGAGCAAGGCCGCGGAGGAGGAAGATCGCAGAGAAGCCTTTGCCCGCAGACCACAACATCCTGAAGGACAACGCGGCAACAAGGCTCAGCGCCAAGCTCAACGAGAGGACGCACCTCGCGCCCTTGAACGCGACAGAAACGATCAAACAGACGACCGCAGCAAGGCCATCAAGCGCAAGGAATTATTGGAGAGTCTCAAGGACGACCTACCCAAGTGCTTCAAGAGGCCGGAAGACACACTCAGGACCGACCTCTACTTGGACAACTACTTCGAGATCAACGACGACGATTTGCACTCGACCATCAGACTCCGGGAGGTGATGCTCACCGGAAAGGCCGCTGCTAAGGAGATCAAGTACGACAAGCTCTCCGCCAAGGACAAGAAGCTCATGACACGGCCATGAAGGTCGAGTGGTCCAAGTGGACCGAGTTCGGGGCCTACAAGAAGCTACCGCACAAGGAATTGAAGGAGATCTCCCAGCGACACCCTGGAATACGACCAGTTGGTACCCGCTGGGTGCTCACGCAGAAGGCCGCCAATCTCATGAAGGCCCGCCTTGTCGTCCAGGGCTGTCAAGAGGACAAGTCCCAGATCCGTGCGGACGCGCCGACCGGGTCAAGGGACGCGCTTTACCTCACGCTTGCTGCCGCCGCCCAGCTTGGCTGGGACCTCACGTCGTACGACGCGATGACGGCTTACCTGCAGTCGGGCAACATCGAGAGGCTGCTATTGCTACGCATGCCAGCCAAGAACCCGCCGCCAGGCACGCTGCCCGGCGAGATCGTGATGGCGACTGGCGCCATCTATGGTGCCCGAGATGCAGGACGCCAGTGGTACCTCTACGCCCAGAAGGTGTTCCAGGAGCACGGCCTCATCGAGAGCAAGCTCGAGAAGGGCCTTTACTACTTCTCCGACGACAAAGAGCTCGCTGCCATGATCCACCCCCATGTGGATGATTTCCTCATCGCCCAGCGCGGAAGCTCCAGCGAGTGGAAGCGCGTCATTAGCTCCTTGCAGAAAAGGCTGCACCTCAAGAAGGTAGAGGGTATCATCAAGTACTGCGGCCGGACAATCAACAAGATCAACGAGGAGTTCCGCATTACCCAGGCGACGGCCGCCGCCCAGGTGGATTTCATCGAACTCAACGCCCAACGCGGACGATCACTAGAGGATCGGCTCACCACCTCGGAGGTCTCGGGATATCGCCACACACTCGGCCAACTGCTTTGGCTCGCAGTACAGACGCGAGTGGACATCGCCTGCCCGGTGAGCCTTGCGGCTCGCCGCACCAACACCGCCACCGTGGCCGACGCCAAGACGCTGAACAAGACCGTCGCTTACGTGCACGGGTCCGCCGATTTCGCCATAGTCATCAAGCGCAACATCATCGACCTGCGCACTTGCACCATCATCTGTTTCAGCGACGCGGCCTTCGCCAATGTGGACGGGGTGAAGAGCCAGTGGGGCATGGCGATTGGGCCAACTCACAAGCCACGGGACGTCGTGGCTGGACGATATGACTTGTGCCTGCCTGTGGCCTGGCATTCGGGCACGGTCAAGCGATCCGTGAAGTCGACGCTGGCCGCCGAGGGCCACGCCGCTCTGGAGGGCGCCGAGTCGAGCACGTGGTTCGGCCAGCTACTTACGGAGGCTTACAACCCGAAGAAGACGCTCAAGCAGATCGACGACCTCAGCACCAAACGATCCGGGGAGATCTACAGCGACAGCAACGGCCTGGTGACGCAGATCAAGTCTGACGTGGGTCAATCCACGGACAAGCGGTTCCGCATCGTGGCATCGATGATCAAGGAGACGGTTCACCCCAACAGCCAGCTGAGGCTCTCGTGGATACCTACGTGGAGTATGGTCGCCGACGCGCTCACCAAGATCATGGAGACCGGAGTGCTCCTCGCTTTCTTCGGGGCCAAGAAGTACAACTTTGGCACTAGGCAACCGCGCGCCGCCATGCTTGCCTCAGTGCTGATGACATGTCTCGGACGCGTGAAGGCACACCCCCCCCCACAGGAATGGCAAGTGCCGATGTCATATTGGGTCTACTACATGACATTCATTGCGATGCTCAGTGGGATCATGATCGGGTTTACATTGTTCGCAGCGCTGTGGTTTGTGGTGCGGAAGGAGATATTTGGGCCAGGCGACCCCAATCCCATCCAGATCGGGACCATCAACAACACCAGCAATGGGTCCAAGGCCGACCACACCGGGCACGCGGACACCCCCTTGCCCGGAGTATATCCAGGATGGGATGGACGATACCTTGGACGTCGCAACAACGTACAGCCTACCATTCCCGAAGATGTCGACGGAGATGTCTACATGGAGCCGCCGATGATTGCCGTCGCAGCCCAGAGTTCATCATCAGCAAGCGGATCGGCAGCGCCAGCCGCACCGCCCCCATCACCGGACAGCTTCGCGCAGGGAGCGAGCTCTGCGCCATCATCGCCGATGACGGTTCACAGTTCCTCGTCAGCCAGTGTGGTTTCGTGGAACGGATCGACGCCAACGGTTTCGCCATCGGAGATGAACGCATGTGTGGCCGCCGAGCACAACATACGTGTGGGACACAACACACATAGTGTCTACATAACCTGCAGGACGTGCAGGAAGCATGCGTCATGGCTTCGTAGGAATCATATGACCCATGAACCAGACTTATCGAGGATGCACAATAGTCTGCGCTGGGATTTACAGAATAGATGGAGGCAGCTACAGGGGTTGCCCGGCAAGGCGAAAGCTCAAAAAAAGATTTCGTGACGCACGCCGCCGCTCTATAACTGGAGCCACATTGTGTGGCAGATTACGTTAGTCCGAATTGTCTTACCAGCTCGTTTTCTTTACACCTGGCGCCACATCGTGTGGCAGATTACGTTAGTCCGAATTGTCTTACCACCTCGTTTTCTTTACATTTGGCGCCACATCCTGTGGCAGATTACGCCAGTCCGCATTGTTCGAAGCTTCATTCAGTGTGCACAGTTTTTTTATGTCTATGTGGTGGCGACCACACTATTAAGACCTTATCTTGATAAGATAGCGCTATTTGAGTTTTGTCGCATAGCGATCGGACTCGCGCTGCTGTTTGCTTCGAGAATGTATGTATTTCTTGCCGGTGCGTGTAGCAGCACCCGTTAAATGCCCTGGGGCAGCCGGATAGCATGCCGACAAGGCCGTTTGCCTGTGTTTGTTTTGGAGTGCTCTGATTAATGAAGTGAGCTGCGATCGATGATCGTCGCTCGACGGCGCCGCGAGCGTCAATCAGGAGGAGTGTGATTCCCGCTCACTCCCCGTGCTTTTCCTGCTCCTTCCCAGCTTCCCCGCTCTATCTCTCACGCCCGCCTTGTCGCCGCCATTTTGTTTCAAACTAGGGCCCTTGGCCTTAGAGCTACGCAGAGTGCTCGCCGCGCGATCATTCGACAAACGATATCAGCGATATCCATATCACAGATCGAGCTTGTGCCAGTGGAAACAAAAATAAAAGCAATCATCGACGTGGTCACCGTCGTGGACGTCGACGTCACCATCGACGACGTCGTCGACGACGCCGTCGTCCTGCTCGTCGTCGTTTTCGTCGTCGTCGTCGTCTTCGTCGTCGCCGTCGCTACTGTCGTTGTCGTGGACGTCGTCGTCGTCGCCGTCGTCGTCGAAGACGTCGTCGCCGTCGCCGTCGTCGTATTCGTCTTCGGCGGCGGCGTCGTCGTCGACGCCTTCGGCGCCCCTCCATCCCATCAGATGGGGGGCCGTGGGCCCTGAGCCCGAGAACATACATTCATATATTCGATGGGGGGGCGTCAATCCTCGACGTTGGTGCATCCACATAAACCCCGCGGGGGCATTCCCAAATTACCCTCATTTGCGACCGGCAAGTTCTTTGGGGGGAAGCCTCTTCGACACCCCCAAGGGACACTCGAAGAAACCCGAGACGGTCCAGTAAGATGCCCAAGACGTCCTCCCCTCAACGCCTGGTGGTTTCCGGGTCGTAGCTCGAATTTTTGGCGGCCGCTCAAGACGATTCGGGCACCCCCGGAGAGCCCTCGACGAAGCGCAGCTGCCGGGGAGCAGACCGACGCGATAAAATGCGAAAACCCATTCGATGACCCAACGAGAACGAAAACGTCCTCAACTCTCTCCTTGACACACCAGAAGGATCCATTTCCTTCATACGGGGGTTGCTACGGTGCCCCTGGCACAAAGAGTCCCCAACTTCCCGCTCTGCTTTGAAGCTTTGGGGGCCCTGTGGGCCTCGTGATGGGTACTCTGCAGGCCGTGGGGGCTATCTTGAAAAATCTCAGGGCCACACCCCTGAGCGGCCCTCTGGGTCTCGTCAGGAGTGCTCTGGGGCCCGTGGGTAGAGGCCTCCCCGATGGGGTCAGCGGCGTCGGAGAATCACGCCGCAGAGCCGATGCATCGGGGACGTCGGCGCAAAGAAACACGGGCTCCACATCGAGCCGCATCGCCGATGCATCGGCCATGCGGCGCGATCATCCGACCCCGTCCATCCCGACCCCATCTGGGGGCCTCCCCTGGAACTCCCTGGGGCCACACCCGTGGGCCAAGGACCCCCCAATTGGCAGCGCCCTGGCTCATGGCGACCTCCAGCCCGCCGCCGGCGCCGGCGCGCCGGCGGACCCGCACCTGGGACGCGCCGTAGAGGTACTGCCCCGGGCCCTGGCGGCGGAGGAGCGACCTCCTGCCGGTGGAGGGGGGTCGTGGGGCTGAGGACGGAGGGGCACGAGGGGGGAGGATCGGGGAGGATGCGGAGGAAGATGGTTAGATGGATGGATAGATGGATCTTATCAAAACGGGGACCAACACTACAGAATTGTATGGAACAACGAATGTGCGCGGCGCTGAGTCGAACCAAACATTGTAAACAAAAACTGGCATCCACCCTTGTACATGCTGCAATCGTTTGAGACGCATGTTCGAGGTGCTACGGCAAAAAACGCATGTTGAAAAACAGCAGACCTCCATCCTGATAACGGTTGCAAGCATTCAACATACAAGGTACACAGCCATGAGGCGATAACCCCATCCTGAAAACGGCCAGCCTCCAGCCTTGTAACTGTTGCAAGCTTTACAAACGAATGTGCGCGGCCTCCAGGCAAAACACGCATGTTCAAAACCAGGGGCCCTCCGCCCTCGTGACTGCTGCGAACTTTGAAAACGAATATGCGCGGAGCTAGAACGATGACGCCGTGTTGGTAACGGTTGGTTCTCTATCCGATGCCGCACAACTGCTTCACGATCTTGAACTCAACGCGTTGCGAAAGAATCCCAATCGAAACACCCCACCCGACCGACTGACACGTCTGGTGGTGCGACAGGGTTGGTTACACTTACAAGGAAAAGGGATGGAGGACCAGAGTACCCTCAGGATGCATCAGCAATGCTGTACCCTCCCGTCCCAAATCCAATCATCACAAACCGTAAGAATTCCGTTCCACTGCGGAACTCGCCCCTCTTGACAAACGAACGAACCGTGGGGCTGCAATTCAGGTGATAATCCCTGATGTGAAGGACGGACCTGCCATCATTGCTCATGTGGGAACAAAGAGGGTCATGCCAGAAATCTCATGCAACAAAGCAAACTGTAGCCCCGAGTTCTGAGGTAACCGCCTGCCTCCATCCATACAGCCTGCCTCCATCCATACCCAACTCATTTTGAAAACACCCACCCTCTATCCATGTAGCTGTTGCGCACGTGTGATTCCCCACCCGAAGCGTTGGGTCCGCTAGGATGGACCTCCCGACGGGCCCATCTTGCATACCGCGGCCGCCAAAGCCCCAGGCCCATCGAATGCTTCCGAGCGTCCCGCCACTCGCGCCTTCGACGAGCATGACATAACTGAATAAAATAGCGCACAATAGAACACTACATGGCAGATCATGGCCGACCACGATATGGACATATGGACAAAACGGAGCATGAGAGAAACCATCAAGACATAGTAGAACATTACCATGACAACCAATGACACAACTGCTCAAACTTGTTCCCCAACCGACAAGCAAGGGCTGCTCAATTTTAAGAGCGACGAACCTCCCGACCTGCCCATCCTGCACACCGCGGCCGCCAGAGCCCCGGGCCCACCGAATGCCCCCCGAGTATCCGGCCATCCGCCTCTTCGAGAGGCATGGTGAAACTGCACAACCAAAAAAAGGAGCTACACACAACGCAACAGAACATGACCGAACATGACAGGACACAAAAGAGCATGACTGACCAAAACATTACATAGCAACGCATTACATAGCACCCACGTCGGAACACATCAGCGAGGAGGGCGGCGGCCCCCCTGCACGAGGGCGCCCAGCGCCCGAGTCCGACTCCGAAGCCAGCTCGGGAAAATTGCCCGCGGCGGGGGGGCGCAGTTGCCGGGGCAGGTGCAATGCAGCATTCGGGAGTTAGAGGAGGAGAAGAGAGAGGAGTGGGAGAGGGGAGGGAACAGGAGGAAAAGTACGAGGAGAAGGACGAGGAGGGACGAGAGGAAAAGAGGGGGGAGGGAGAAACGATAGAGGATGGACGTAGGGAAAAGATCAGTAGCAAAGAACAAAGAGAAAATGCCGTCTAAGGCCCGCGCAGGGCGGCACCGGGAAGATTACTACTATTGCTTCGTGGCCCAGTTGACAAAGTCCACGGAGTACTGGTGCCACTGAGACTGGTCTCGCGCTAGGATCTGCCACTCGCCCAGACCACGCCCCAAACAAAATCTCTTCATTGGTGCTTCGATCTTCATCCAGGGCCGTTGAGAAGGCCTGAGACGTCTGTGACTCTCATTCGCGAAAGACGCCGGCCACGGCAAATCCCGCCACATCGCGAACTTTCCCGCCCAGTCTTGGTGAGGCATGCGGGTGACATGTCCAGCCCACCGCCACCTCCGCTGAAAATGAGCCTCCAGCCAGCGTAGCACTGCTGAGCGCCTTGCCGATGCTTGGACTTTCCGCGTCGTCTTTTGAATTCGCTCCACCCACGTTTCGTCCAGCCTCCGGCTACACCCAGCAATCCATCTCTGCATTGCGTTTTGCGCGTGGTTTGGAAGCGCCAGAGATCTTCACCCCGCGGCGACAACGGTTCTGACGCCAAGAGGATTGTGCCAGAGGCAGTGTTGCCGAAAGACCAGAGTCTCTTATGCAGAATTTGAACGATTCAAATCAAGCCCAGTGAGAGCCCAAAATTTCGTCCAGTCTGCAACATTCCTGCGTTTGACCTCCTCGCGCGTCACATCCTCCACAGACAACTAGGCCCCACGGAATCACGCACATCGTCCTTGATCTACAACCTCTACCCCCACTGCAACTCCGTAGGCAAATTTGTCTGCACCTTGCCTTACGTAGGGTGCAAACACAACCCCTCTGCAGAAACGCATTCTTCAACCAAATAATCATCCGCTTCAATGACAGCCAACTCCTTGCGAACAACTGCTGGCCGTCCGCAACAACAAGATGAGTAAGACGCGCCCCCTGGAGCACATGCCCGAATGAGGTGCTGCACCCCCGGTCCTGCCATATCTCGTAGACTTTCTCCAATACGCCGTCGAGGACCAAAGTGAACAGCACCAGATGCATTTGCCGCACCCCGCGGCCGACAACAAAAGAATCTGCTTTCGTCCCTTGACCACGGAGATACGAAGTCTGTCACTCCAAAATACAATTTGCGAAACGCCCTTGGAACCGAGGCCCCCTACCCCATGCTGCAACAATGCATCGACAATGGCTGCGTGGTGAACCCGGTCAAAGGCTTGCTCGATATCTAATGTGGCTCCCCACAGCCCTTCGCCACAATCGAACGATTTCTGAAGGACGGCCCGTGAACTGTGAATGTTGTATGCAAGCCCTCGGCCGCGTCAAAAATCCGAACCGTTCGCGGGAAACTGTTTGGTCGATAGCTGGCGCAAGCCTATATTACACTTGAGTGCTGAACAACTTTGCCATAATCGGACCGATAACGATAGTTCGGCAATTTTGAGGCACCGCTGGGTCTCCACTGTTGAACAAAACTCTGAACTTGGTGACGCGCCAGGTTTCCGGTGGTCCCATGCGTCCCTGGAGGAACTGAATCAAAAACTCAGACATGATATGCACAAGTGCTCAGTGCTCAATGTTCAACATGTCCGCCACCAGCCCATCATCTGCGCTGGTCTTTCCCCACTTGAGCTTCCTGCCAACTCAGGCTCCGTGACCACGGCATGCCCTGCATGAATTGTGATTCCTCGCCGTCAACTTTCTGGTAGAACTCTTCGCAAAACAACGCGAACACTTTACGATATAGATGCTGGATGAATCTTGACATTGCCGTCCTTGCCCGCGATGCTCGTGATGCGCTCGGCTCCTTGGTGTCTTTGTCCCAGCCTCCTTGGAATTCTTTGTCCTGACACTTTTTAAACCAAACTCTCGAATTCCTTGCCTTGTCTCTGCCGCCGGTCCTGGCACAACGATCGCCATACTTGCTTTGACAGCCGTTTTCTCCTTTCAGGTCAGCTTCGCCTCGGGGAGCATCGATCAAGGCAAATGTTTCTGGGCTGTGACGAGCGCGGGGTGTCCTCGAGATTGTCCCAAAATCTGTGAAGCCACACTTTTCTGGAAGGATCTGAAGACATCCCATAAATCTACAAAACATCGTCCAAACCATCGTGGAAGCTGCTGGGACTCCTTCCGTGATCGAGAACTGGACTCCATCTTACCAGATTTGTGGCTCTCGGGATCCGTCTCCAGCGCGGCCTGTCCATGAAAACAAAATCTGCAATGCAAGCCCTGTGGCGGAGGAAGAAGAGGACAGTCACCCAAGGTTTCGGTGGGGATAGCTCGAAGCTAAATAATTGTTTCGAACATTGGGTCATCAAATCACAAGCGCCCGAAACGAGAACTCCATTTGGAACACGGACCGCCTCCCACCAGGTGGAATGAAGCACGATTTGGTTAAGGGTTGTGCGCGGCGCCGCGGCGAAGTCTATTTTTTTGAGAACGACGCGGCGCCACAACTGGACCCACATGTTGAGAACGACGCGGCCTGGAGCAATTGGACCGTTGGATTCGTGTAAGACGAGTGTGCGCAGCACCAAATCGAGAACCACATGCTGAAAACCCCCTGTGCTCAGCCGCGTAGCTGCTGACAGTTCCAAACTCCCAGATCGTAAGTTCTGAGGAGAACCCAAGCGAAACGCCTTGCCCGCCCTGCCGGCACGTCTGGTTGCAAGACAGGGAGGGGTTCCAGTATCGATCAGGAAGAGGGGGAACAGAGGAGGATGAGGTGGTGGAGGGGCAGGATCGGAAGGAGGAGAGGAGAGGATGGAGGATCGAAGTCCGAGTGAGGGACGAGGAACTGGGCCGAGGTTTTACACACTCTTGACACCAAAATGCGCAACATCGCCATGCAAACATCGGGCCGGACGAGACCGCTGGAATATCGAAATCGAATCCGACCGAGCAAAGCGCAATCGATATCACATCGAATCTATCGAATTCCAATGGTCCCTGAAAGGGTCGAAATTCTACACCGAGTCGTCGGACTTTTGAGGAGGAAGCCGAGGACTACGACGAAGGCGACAACGACGAGCCATGCGCAGGGAGCGAGCAGGCTCCTCCCACCTCCGACTCTTCCGCCCTGCTCTCCACGTCTCCCTCCTCCTCGCCCGCTTCAGGCTCACCGACCACCTCCTCCTCGTCTCCCTCCCAAACCTCATCGTAGGTCACCCCCCCTCTCCTGCACCTCTTCACCCCTCCTGCGCCTACTCCTCCATTCCCTCCTCGCCCTTCTCCTCGTGTCCCCCTCATCATCCAACTCCATCCTCCACCCGTCGCTCCTTTCGTCGTGTTCTCAGTCTCAGGGAAAACTGTTTTTTGTCGGGGGTCCAGCTTCTGGGGGGCACGGATGGGAGGGAAGGGGAGGGATGAAGGGACGGGAGGAGGGGGGAGGGAGGAGGCAGGGCGGGGGTGTGGGGGGGGGACTTGGAGGGCTTTGGTGGAAGGCCGCAGGGCCTTCTAAGGGTGCGTCTGGGGGGGGGCGCCAGGTCTTGGGAGGCCCGAGGGTGGAGGGAAGACTTCGGACGAGGGGGGAGGAGGAAGGACTGGAGGGAGAAAGGAGGCAGGAGCAGAGCGGGAGGGAGAGAGAGGGAGGAGGGAGGCGAATGGCATTCGAGGGATTTTGAGAAGGCATTCAGTGCGTTCTGGAGGTGGGGCCCTGGGAGAAGGGAGGACGACAATAAGGATTGAGGATCATGGGGGACGCGGGAGAGAGGAGGGTGGACCGTTGTTGGTACTCGTGCTGCCTTTGGGGGGCTCTTGGCGTCGAGGGGAGATGGGTTCTCGGTGGGGGGAAGGCAAGGAGCGAAGACGCGATGAGGGGGGGGGGACTGGACCCACACCTCCGAAGCTGCGATTCCTTTGGCATTGACGCTGTTGCCGCCTCCATGGGTCGTCTCCCGGCCAGGAGACGGCAACCCGTGGTACGATAGCTCCTGAGGTACGGATGCCGCATGCCTAGGGGAGGAAGTTGGGCAACTAAACCATGCTGGACGTCTGAGGGAGGAGTACCAGTTTGCCAGCTGCTGACACATCTTCAATATTCTGGGGGGCTTGAGTGACAAGAGGGAACAATTAGAAATTGAAGAGCGAAGGAACGAGGACGGAAAGAGGGCGGCGAGACTGTAGGCTTCGAGGGACTGCAAGCGGGTTCTGCAAGGAGGTCGGAGCCTCGAGAGGGACACGAGAAGAGGGATGAGGATGAGTGGGGGATGATTGAGCATCGTCTAGCCGATCCTCATCTCCATTGGCGAGGCCTTGGCCCTACTGCTCGACTTACCCCATTACCAGGTGGGAATGTGTGCTGTTCCCTTGGGGGCTCGCAGGATCGACTCCCGCCTGGTGGGGTTGGCTCGTGGGGCTGAGGTACCATGAGACGATGCTGAATGACAAGGGAGAGCAGGACGATAGGTGAGCTCCTGAGGCGGTTCCGAGGCCTGTTGACAAAGTGCGCGACCTCCACGGAGCGGGTAGAACACCGTGCGCCGCCCCACCCCCCCACCCACCGCCAACCCCCCCCCCACCTCGGACGCCGAAGCTGGGACCCCCCGCTCCTTCTTCCTCATTCCTCCTCCTCCTCCTCCTCCCTCCTCCTCCTCCTCCTCCTCCTCCTCCTCCTCCTTGGGCTTCCGACCGCCACCCTGAAGAGGACACGAAAACGAACATCGCTTGGCTTTTGCAACAGGACGGCGCATACAATAAGCTGGGGGAGTGTGACTCCAGAACATAACATGCCTTCAACGAACGATGGATATGGTCTTATATCGTTGCATGTCTAACAGCTGGAGGTAAATGGAGGGGGGAAATTTACCAAACGGGGGTACCGCCTGGATGGGAAGGTCCTCGGGTAGGGGGGGCGCTCCCTGCAATGGAGAAGAATACTTGCAGCGAGGAGAAGGAAAACGAGGAGGAGGAAGAGAACATCGTTTAACCGATCCCCATCCCCACTGTCATGGCCTTGGCCATACTAGCCGGCATACCGCGATAGGTGGGAATATAGGATCCTGGGTCGAAGGTTCACAGGCCTCCCAGATGGGATGGGTCCTGGCGTTCCACAGCCCCCCCCCCGCAGTTAGGATGGGGGGGGGGGGGCGACGCCGACGCCGACGCCGACCTCGACGACGACCCCGACGCCGATTCCGACGCCGAGGCTGACGCCGACGCCGACGCCGACGCCGACGACGACGCCGACGACGACGACGAACACGTCAACGCCGACGCCGACGCCGACGCTGACGCCGCCGCCGCCGCCGACGAAGCCGAAGGCGACGGCGACGGCGACGGCGACGCAAATGCCGACGCCACCGACGCCGACGACGACGCCGATGCCGATGCCGAACCGCCGCCGCCGCCGCCGCCGCCGAAGTCGACGCCGACGCCGCCGACGCAGCCGACGCCGACGCCGACGCTGACGCCCGTCGCCGACGCCGACGTCGACGCCGACGCCAACGCCGACGCCGCCGCCGACGCCGACGCCAACGCCGACGCGGACGCGGACGGTGACGACGACGCCGACGCCGAAGTCGACACCGACGCCGGCGCCGACAACGACGACGATGACGACGACGGACCACCCCACACCCACAGGGGGAGGACGGGGGGTGCACCAGCACCCTCCACCACGCCACGCCAACAGGGCCACGACCACAGGAGCGGGGGGGAACGATCCTACTCACAAGGCTTTCGCCAGGCGCACGGGCGAACCCATCCAGCGGCGGGGTGGCTCAAACCCATATGGATTGAGGTTATTTTTGGGGGGCGGGGGGGAGGAGGGGGGCAACCCAGCAGGCAGCAAAGACGAGGCAGCCCTGGACGAACGTGGAACAGCAGGCTAAGCCACAGTCTGCCGATGGCCGAGAAGTTCACAGACCAAACCCACGTCCACAGACAAGTGGTGCCTGCGAGGGTTAGGGTGCATCCCTTTGCACAGGAAGCGCCAAAGCTGATCAGCATTCCTGGTGGGATGTCCATCACATCTTCTTCCCAATCCATCAATGTGCGCACCCGTGCTGTAAAACCTGTACCTGATACAAACAAACACATGACTCCCGCCATCGCAGGGGAAAGCAATGGTTTTGTGACCAAGATAACATAACACACCCTCATCAAGCTTGCTTTCCCCTGCACAAAGGCCTGGCGCAGGCTCCTCCGGCTGCCCACAGCCAAGCAAACAGACTCTGCACGTCCACAACGCTGACCAAACTTGCCAGTCGCCCCAAGACGGTCCAAGAGGTTCCAGGACCGCCCACGACGACTCCAAGACGGCCCAAGAATGCCCCAAGAACGCCCCAAGAAGGCCCCAGAGGGGGAACACGAAACAACATTTCGAGCCCTCGGCCATAAGCCGCCCCCATGAGGTCCCCAGAGGTCCCTAAGAGGCCCCAAGAGGCCCCCAACAGGCGGTCAGGAGGCCGCCAAGAGGCCGCCAAGAGCCCCCAAAAGGCTCCAGGTTAAGACGTCCCCGAAAACCTCGGAGAAATCCCAAGAGCTTCCTGTACACTGCCTCCCGCTGCGCGAAAATGGGCCAGCGGAATGAGCGAAACGATCAAATAACATATACTTCCAGAGGTCTTCGCGGAGCTCTTGGATCAGCACTGGGCCCCTCCAACTGGCTCTCGCAGCGCGCCAGTGGCGGCACTGGAGGCGCCGCCAGCGATGGGGCTCAGCGCCACCCCTTGCGCGCGTCGCGACAAGGAGCGGGTCCAGCGCCGATGCGAGAAATCCGCGCGGACCTCCGACACCTTATCCGCATATCGAAAATTATTATTACGATCCTTCTTCATACTCTTCGTCTTGATAATCTTCCTATTCCCTACCTAGGCTCTGCCTGGAACGGTTCTTACCCTCTTGGCTTAAAGGGGCCGGGCAGTGTAATGTTCCCCGGGCGGTTCCCCCAGCATCCGCCCCGCGGTTCCCCCAGTTACGTCCCCTTAGCTTAGCGTTGCGTATCTCCTCTTAGCTTAGCTTATTTCATCTTAGCTTAGCTTAGCTTAGCTTAGGTTAGCTTAGCGTAGCCTAGCCTAGCATAGCTTAGCCTAGGTTAGCTTAGATTAGCCTAGCCTAGCTTAGCCCAGCTTAGCGCAGCATTAGCATATCATAGCATATCACATCATTTCATATCATAGCATAGCGCAGCATAGCATAGCGCAGCATAGCATAGCATAGCTTAGTTAAGCACAGCGCAGCATAGCATAGCATAGCTTAGCATAGCACAGCGCAGCATAGCATATCAAATCATAGCTTAGCATAGCGCAGCATATCATAGCATTGCATAGTATAGCGCAGCAACGCATAGCATAGCATTTCATAGCATTTCATAGCATCGCATATCGTAGCACCGCCTAGCCTAGCATGGCATAGCGCAGGATAGCATAGCATAGCATAACATGACATAGCACAGCATAGGCAACGCAAAGGCAAAGGCAAAGGCAAGGCAATGCAAACGCAAAACCAATGCGAACGTGTAGATGTAGATATAGAATTATGTGTAGATGTAGATGTGGATGTAGGTAAAAATGTAGATGTGTATGTAGATGTAGGTGTAGATGTAGGTGTAGATGTAGACGTAGATGTGAGTCTCGCTGTTGATGTTGATGTAGATGTAGGTGCAGGTGTAGATGTTAATGCAGCTGTCGGTGTAGATGTAGGTGTTGCTTTCCTAGATGCTCCAACTCCCAGGTAGGGCGCACTGGGATAAATACTATTCTTCGTACTCTTACGATTACCAATATTATTTCTCCTATTACTACTCTTATGCGATTCCCCAGGGCGCCTCATTTCGTGGGGCGAGAATAAACATCCTCGTGCCTTCGCGCCAGGAGAAGGAGGGTTCTCCGGGCCAGGCCGCGACCCGCAGCGTGCTGGCATCTTCAGCGCCCCTCCGGATGATCCCAGTGAGCACGGGCGTACATACGGCAGGCTCGTGTCGTGCCGACTTCGGCGTTGGTTTCAGACACCGCGGGGATCTTTCCAACTTGAAAGATCGGCCGCTTCCGAAACGTCACTCCGTTCAGCATCGACCGATCCTGGGTCGCCGGCGACGTTCGACCCGGAACGCCCGCGGCGGGGTCGCAGCGAGTCGACGCGACGCGAACCTACCGCACCCGAATCCGAAGGTGGCGCGAGGCAGGGGGAAGGTTATGTTGCTCCCATCGTACGTAAAGACCACATACCATAAATCCGGCGACCCCCTTGCGGCCCTTGCGGGACCATCAGGCTGCGAGGATTAGGTTCGCTGCTCCCTGCGCCAATTCCGGTTTCCAGTTCCCAATGTTACAGTTTTGTTTTCTGCTTCTTACTGTAATTTGTTCCTGTCCTCGCTAGGGGGGGAGCGGGAAAGGACCCTGGTTACCACCTCTCGGGGAGGTTCTCAAAATTTCTGGGGGGGGCCCTGGAACATTTGAAACTACCTAAGATTCGCGCCTCCGAGGCCACGATCTCTCGCAAATTACACCGCGTTCGCGCCCCCGAGGCCACGGTCTCTTGCAAACTAACCTACGTTGGCGCCCACGTGGCCCTGATCCCCCCACGAATTACAGCACATTCGCGCCCCCGAGGCCACGATCTCTCATAAATTATGCAACATTCGCGCCCCCGAGGCCACGATCCTATCTAAATGACTCCGCATTCGCGCCCCCGAGGCGACGATCCCTTGCAAATTACACCACGTTCGCGCCCCCGAGGCCACGATCTCCTGCAAATTGAACTACATTGGTGCCCAAGGGACCAACATCTCCCGTGAATTACACCACAGTCGCGCCCCCGCGGCCACGATCCCTTACAAATTACACCACGTTCGCGCCCCCGAGGCTACAATCCCCTGTAAATTACTTTGCATTCGCGCCGAGGCTACGATCCTTCGCAAATTACGCCACAATCGCGCCCACGAGACCACGATCTCCTTCCTGTAAATTATGCTACACTGGCGCCCCCGTGGCCACGGCCCCGCGTAAATTACACGACGTTCGCGCCCCCGAGGCTACGATCACTTTGCAATTACGGCACAGTCGCGCCCCCGAGGCCACGATCCCCAGCAAATCCCACATCCCAATCGAGCTCTGATACATTCAATTTAGGCGGAGAGGGGGCCAGCGGCAGGTCTTGCGCGAGGTGATGTAGCGACCTAGCGCGGCGGTGTACGCGGGCCGCCAGCGCGGCGCGATACATTGGGAACGAGGGCGCATAGAGGGCGAGCTTACGCGGGCAGCTTGCGTGCCGATGTCGGTGAAGACGAACCCGTTCTCTTGCGTCGCACACGTGGCACAAACATAGAGACTTTCGGATGTCTTTCCGGATTCTTCGGGTCCGCGCTGGGCCCCCCTCCCTGGCGCGCGGACCGCGCCAGGGGCCTCGCCGGCGTACCGCAGCGAGGGGGCTACAATGCTGATCCAAGAAGTTCGCGCGGACCTCCGAACATTGAAGCTTCTGGCATTGCTTGTTCCCCGACGTGTTCCCCGACGTCTTTGGGGAAACCAGCAGGAACCGATAACGCTACTCCCTGGACCTCTCCCGGGGCTTCTGACCAGAACTTCGAAGCAAATCCAGCGGTGGCGACGAGGGCCTCTCAGGAGGCCCAAACAAGGGGGAAAACGGGGCGAGGATAGCGGTATGGGTACCCTTTCCTCCTCTGCCCCCCTCCTCATGTCCCCCACCCCCTCAACCTACATTCCTTGTCCTCATAGATAGCTCCTGCCTGTCGCACCCCGAAGCCAGTTGTAAAGGCGGGCTTGGTTTTTAGCCTGAGACCGCCTCACCACTTACGACCCTGATGCTAAACAATTGACAATTTCACAAATGTGGCTCGCGCTTCAGCGCCGCGCACACTCGTTTTACACATTTACATGAGGTTCACTGAAGGAGGGCGGATTGTTTTCAAAATGTGGCTCTCGCCTCGGAGCGCACACTCCTTCTGAAAAGCTGCAAGAGCTTCACGCATTGAGGGCGGGTGGTTTTCAACATGTGGCTCTCGCCTAGAGCCGCGCACGTTCGCTTTGGAAAAGTACATGCGTTTCGCTGGTCGAGGGCGGGCCGTTTTCAAAATGTGGCTCTCACCTGAACGCTGCGCACATTCGTTGTAACACATTGGGAGAGCTTTACCCATCGGTCGGAAGAAGTAGGTAGAAACATGGAGTAGGAAGGCGCTGGAAATAGATTGGGTTTCCGCACGCCTCCTGAAGAGGAAGGAAGAGGGAAAACGACTCGACCCTTGAAGTAGGAAGGCGCTGAAAGTAGATTGGAATCTGGGAATCCAAAAATACCTACTTTCAACGACCGATGAGTACGGGTTGGAGGCGGGTCATTTTCAAAATGTAGCTCCCGCCTTAGCGCCGCGCACAGTCGTTTTGGAATGTGCAAGATGTTCAAGAATTGAAGGCGGTTCCTTTTTCAAAATGTGGCTATCGCTTTAGCGCCGCACATGTTCGCTTTCAGCATTTGCAAGCGTGTCATTGATTACCATGGCTAACGTGCCAAAAAAAGTGCTTTGGAACCTGTCAGGATTGCCAGGGCGCACAAGTTATGTTGATTCGCGGTGTTGAAGTCCGAAATAAATGTTCTGGCGCGATTTCAGGTTAACTCGCGGCGCTGGAGTCCTGAGAGTAGTGTTTTGGCAAGCTTCCAAACGTTCACACGGCTGCACCCCAGCAGAACCATTCCGTCTGTGGAAATGACCAATTGTAGGGGCCCTGTGGCGAGGGATCTTGAGGGAGGGTGTTGTCAACATCGTTGATGAGTCTTGGGTTCACACTGGTCCTCCTCCTCCTCCTCCTCCTCCTCCTCCTCCTCCTCCTTTCCCGACCTGCCCTCCTCCTGCTCCTGCTCCGCCCTGCGCTCCTGCTCCTCCTCCTTCGCCTCCTCCCCCTCCTCCTCCTCCTCCTCCTCCTCCTCCTCCTCCTCCTCCTCCTCCTCCTCCTCCTCCGTCTCCTCGTCCTTTCCCCCTTGCCCTGCTCCTCCTCCTGCTCCGCCTCCTCTTCCTCCTTCTGCTCCGCTCCCCTGCGCTCCTCCCCCTCCTCCTCCTCCTCCTCCTCTCCTCCTCCTCCTCCTCCTCCTCCACCTCCTCCTCCTCCTCCTCCTCCTCCTCCTCCTCCTCCTCCTCCTCCTCCTCCTCCTCCTCCTCCTCCTCCTCCTCCTCCTCCCCCTCGCTCCCCGCTTACTCTCGGCCTTGCCCGCCCCGCGGCCTCCTCGTCCACCGAGTCCCCGGGGCACGGCCCGTACGCCTCGCCCGAGTTGGGCGGTCCGCATGCCAGCTCGCCGCCGCCGAGCCGCGGGGGCGACGCGGCCTCGGCGGCGGCGGCGGGCGTGCCCGCGCCGTCCGCCGCGCCCGGCCGCGCGCACGGACTGAAGCAGGGCTCGAGCTAGACAGCGTCTGCCGCTTGCGCTTGAGGATTACCCTGCCTGTCTACGCCGCAGATATGACGAGTGACGGTCTGGATGGTCCAACAAGACCATCGAGTTTGATGCCCCCCCTGGCGTGAAAGTCGAGTGATCGCCAGACTCGGGGGGCTATCGTTCTGCTCTGCTCTCGTTCTGCTCTGCTCCGTCTTCGCAGAGCGAAAGCCTTCCGCTCTGCTCTCGTTCTGCCTCGCTCCGTCTTCGCTCCATCTCTGGTGCCAACAAGTGGCGGCCTCCCGCTGAGGCGGAGGATCGCGTCGCGCCGCCACTGCGTCGGCGATACATTGCCGATGCAGCGGCGATGCACAGGCGACGTCAGCAAGGCATCAGGCTCCACATCCAGCCACACCGCCGATGCATCGGCGATGCGGCGCGATCCTCCGACCCCGTCTACTCCGGCCCCATCTGGGAGGCGCTCTGGAGGAGCGGCACCAGAACGAGAGCGGAGCCCACGAGATCGCGGAGCCGCACCGCTTGGCTCGCGCCCTGAGCTGGGGCTGCCCACGCCGTGCCGCGGCGGCTCACAGGGCGGGGGCGCCGCGGCGTGCAGGCCCTCGCCGCGCGCCGCGGGGGCCGCCGCGTCGGCGCCCGCCGGGGCCGCGGGCCCCGGGGGGAGCTGCGCGACGCAGGGCCTGCGCTGCGCTGCGGCCCACGCCTGCGGCATGTGCTCCTCCTGTCGGGGTGCGCGCACGGGCGACGGCCCTGGGGCAGGGAAGAACCTTCGCCGCGCGGCCTGCCGATCCATGCGTGCTGTGCGACAGGAGAAGCTTACCCACGTCGACCCTCAGAGGTCTCGACCCAGCACATCGGGACTGCTTCCTGGATCATCGGTTGAGGGTCCCTCGGCCTGGCGAGGGCCTCCAGAGGTCGAAAATGATTACGTAAAAGCCTCCCGTCATGATCTTTGCATGGCCCGAGGGGGTCTGCGTTACTGCCCCCAATTGCGCACCGCCCGACCCCAGGCATCCCTGGGTCCCAGTAGATGGGGTCGGAGGATCGAGCCGACGTCGCCGATACGTTGCCGATGCATCGCCGATGCATCGGCGATGTCGGCGATGCATCGGCGACGTCCGCGTGGAGAGAGTCGGCCGCCACATCGAGCCGCGTCGCCTATGCATCGGCCATGCGGTGTCAACCTCCGATCCCATCTGCTCGAACCCCACCTAGGAGGCGGCCTGCGTCATTCCTGATGGGGGATGTGGCCACTGTTGCAACCAATTCCTGACTTTTGCGTGCTCTTCGACTGGGCAACAGGATTTTGGGCCCAACTCGGGGATAGACGCTGGGGCATCCATCCCCGATAGGAGTGCGTCCGAATAGCCCCCCCTCTGGGATGCATCCCCGAGTGGCCCCTCTCTGCTGAGCGACCAGCCGTCTGCGGCTGGACTCCGAGACTGGGGGCGAGAAGAGGCCCGGGATCTCACGCGCAGCCGATCCTGCCGGGCTTCGAGGGCCCGCCAGGCAGGCGGCGGACCGCCGGGCGCCTCGCTGCCGCAGCGCGCCGCGGCGCCGGGGCTCCCCCGCGCGTCCGCGCTGTCGCGCGCCGGCAGGCGGCCCGCGGCAGACGAGCCCGGGAGGCGCGGGCGCTGGCCGCTCTCCGCAGCCGGGGGCGCGGCGCTCCCGGGATGCCGCTCGGGGCTGGCGGCCCGCGGCGCCTGCGCGCCCCAGCCGCCAGGCAGCGCGGCCGCGGAGTGGCTGCGGAGCGGCCCCGGAGGCTCTGCGCACCGGCAGCCGAGCACCAGCGACTCGGCCAGGCGGTCGAGGGACGCGCGCCGCAGCGCCTGCCGGCTCAGCTGCACCTCGGCGTCCGCCAGTCTGCCGCACAGGTCCTCGACCCGGGCCCTCGGGGAGCGCTGCTCGATGGGGGGGCGACGAGTGGGGAGCGAAGAAGCGCCACCTTCCATGCCTCTGTTGGGCCCCAGAGGGCCTCTTCAGGGCCTCTGAGGTGCACCTTCCTTGAACCCCCCCCCCATTTTCGGCGGCGAGCGAGGGGGGGAAGTGAGAAGGAGAAGGTCTTCTCAGAAGGCTCGGAAGTCCTCCAGCCTTCTGAGAAGCTTCCTGCACTTTCCCCGAAGGCGCAAAAACGTCGCAGAAGGCGCGAGGATTTCTGAGAAGCCCCGCCGCCTTCTGAGAAGGCCTCCTCCTTCTCCCCTCCTCCCTCGCTCGCCGCCGACATTTATCTAGAGCCACGAAACAGGGCAGACACATAGCTGCTCTGAGGCCGAGCGACCCCGGGACCTGGGAAGGGCCCCAGGAGTCGGTCGTGGTTCCTTCGCAAGGCGAGGGGATCTGGGCCTGCTCCGACCCCATGTGGGAGGCCGAGATCAGAAACAGCGGCGTAAGCATGAACTTGTGGCGCTCCGCGCTGATTTCTTGGATCCGCGCCGGACCCCCCTCCCTGGCGCGCGGAGAGCGCGCCAGTCATGGAGGGCCGGCGACTCGATCCCAGAACCTGCCGCGCGGAGGTCCGACAGTTTACGTCTACGCAGTGGAGGAAGAGGAGGAGGAAGAGGAGGAGAAGGAGGACGAGGAGAAGGAGGAGGAGGTAGAGGAGAAGGAGGAGGAGGAGGAGGATCAGGCCTACGCAGTTTTCTCCTCAGGCCAACGCGTTCCACTACGCGCGAAGGAGCTACCCGCAATGGGTCATCGGTTGAGGGTCCCTGGGCCTTGCGAGGGCCTCCAAAGGCCGAAAATGATTACGTAAAAACCTCCCGTCATGATCTTTGCATGGCCCGAGGGGGCCTGCGTTACCTCCCCCAATTGCGCACCGCCCCGACCCCAGGCATCCCTGGGAACGAGAAGAGGGCGTCGGAGGAACGCGCCGACGTCGCCGATGCATTGCCGATGCATCGCCGATGCATCGGCGACGTCGGCGATGCATCGGCGACGTCCGCGTGGAGAGAATCGGGCGGGCTCCACATCCAGCCGCATCACCGATGCATCGGCGATGCGGCGTCATCCTCCGATCCCATCTGATCCGATCCCCATCTTGGGGGCCTGGATCCCAGATCCCCCGTTTTTCATCCTGAATCGTTGTTCGACGGTCCCGGTTCCTGGGAAGGGCCCCAGGAGGCCGCCCATGGCTCCCTCCTGCTCATGGTGGTGGCGGTGGAAAATATGCCCACCACTGCCCCTTGCCGGCGGCGTTTTCTTCTTCGTCGAGAGCCCATTGCGCACCGCCCGGCCTCAGGCTCCCCTGCCCCTTGCCAGCGGCGCCCGGCGCCCCCGCGGAGGCCGCGGCGGCCGGGGCCGCGGTGCCCTGCCGCTGCTCCTCGGACGGCAGCGCCCCCGACGGCGCCTCCGCCCCGCCGCCACGGCCGGCCAGCTCCGCCTCCAGCGCCGCCCGGCGGGCACGCAGCCTGTCGACCTCGCGCGCCAGGGCGTCGCCTCGGGCGTGGCTCCATGCGGCGGCGAGCGAGGCGAGAAGAGGAGGAGGAGGAGGAGGAGGAGGAGGAGGAGGAGGAGGAGGAGGAGGAGGAGGAGGAGGAGGAGTGGAAGAAGAAGGAGAAGGCCCTCTCAGAGGGCGGCGGGGCTTCCCAGGAGCCCTCGCGCCTCAAGACCAGTGTGTGTCTGCCTTCGGGGGAGGCGTCGAAGACTTCTCAGAAGGCCGGGGGACTTCCGAGCCTTCTCTGAGAAGGCCCGCCCCCCTTACTTCCCCCCCCTGGGCTCGCCGCCGATCAATGGGGGGCGACCAAGGGGGGGGGGGGAGAGACACGTACGCACACCTTTCGTGCCCCCGCTGGGGTTCCTTTCTAGGGCCCCTTTCGGGCACAAAGAGGGCGCACCTTCCGTCGCGCCGCCGTGCTGGGTGCTGGGGAAACCAAGAAAAACGGTACTGCTATACTCCCGAGCCTCTCCCGGGGCGCGTTCTGACCAGGATTTCGCAGCGAATACAGCGGTGGCGACGAGGGCCTCCGAGGCCGAAAAAAGGGATAACGAGGGCAGGGTTATTGAGCAGGGACCGACCGTCCCGGCATTCCTATAGTCATACCACGAAATTTTCTTAGAACCCAAAATGTTCTAAAAACAAACACAAGGTTCTTAGAACATACACCCGATGTATTAAAACATGTCAATGTCAACCAGAAATAGTATGAGAACAGTTCGTGGAAACCGCAGAAAAGGTTCTGACAACACAATTTGGTAGGGCTATCGGCGAGCCAGGACGCTTCGCCACTGCTTGAAGATAATTAGCGGCATCGGTTCCGTCTCCTCCTCCGACCCCCATTGCGCAGGCCCCCGGTCGCCGCAGCGCGAGGCTGCACCGGCCGCCGAGCGCAGGCGCCACAGCTCGGCGCGCTCCGCCGCGCACAGGCGCTGCAGGCTGTCGATCTGCCCGTCCCGGAGGGCGAGCACCCCCTCGAGCAGCTCCCGCTCCGCGCGCCGCGCCGATCGATGATCCCCAGAACGCGTGTTGGCGCCAACCCGTGCTCGATGGCCTTGCTTTCCACCACCACCACCACCATAAGTTGGAGGGGGAGGGGGTCCCCCTCCCCTCCTCCTCCTCCTCCTCCTCCTCCTCCTCCTCCTCCTCCTCCTCCTCCTCCTCCTCCTCCTCCCCCTCCTCTTCCTCCTCCTCCTTCTCCTCGTCCTCCTCCTCCTCCTCCTTCCCCCCCAACTTATGGCGGTGGTGGTGGAAAACACGCCCATCAGTGCTTATCCACCGAGGCCCTTCAACCCGACGCAGGCGGCGCAACGAGGGCCGACACAGGCTGCGCGCCAGTGGCGGAGCCGCACGGGGTACAGTGCAGGCCAGTCCACACGAAACCTTCCCCGAGAAACCCAACCCTGAGACCCCAGGACGCCCGTGGATTCTTGGTGTGGGCACGTCACGCTCCCCACAGCAAGACCCTCGAGACCCAAGAAAAAAACCCAGGGCACCCTGGAGGCAAGCAGGGTGCTTCTGAGCATGGGCCTCCACTGCAGGCACGCGCTCGGGCTACCGCGCGCCCTGAGGACCGTCGAGCCGAGTGGGCGGCGTTCGCCTCCGCATCCAGGGCGTGGAAGCGCGCCGCGACCGCGTCCTGGCCGCGCCGGCCGCCCGCGAGCGCGTCGGTGACCGCACGCAGGTGGGCGGCCTCGGCCTCCTGGCGGCGCGCCTCCAGCCGCTGGTGCCTCTCCTGCGGGGGGGGGAGATCGGCACCGGCGTAGCCTTCGGCGCACGTGCGCGCGGACTTCTCGGGCCCGCGCTGGGCACGCCCCCTGGACGTGGCGCCCAGCGCCGATCCAAGAGGTCCGCCTTCGGAAGCGTCGGCTCGTGGCGCTCATCCTTCCTCGGCTCCTGGAGCTCCAGGAGGCCCTCGCACCTGGCCTCGATGCCTCGGAGGAGCTCCCTCGCCTCAGGCGCGGGCACCGCCTCTCATCGGTGGTTCCGTGGGGTCCTCGGGACGAGGTGCCTCCTCAAACAATGTAAATATGCCATCGGCCGCCGAATTTACGTAGCACCCCGCAATTGCGGATAAGAGTGAGGGGGCGGGCGCGGGCGACGCGGGCATCGTCGAGCCGGCGGATCTCGTGGCCCCCACCTTCCCTGTCGATGGCGATCTTTTCCTCCTCCTCCTCCTCCTCCTCCTCCTCCTCCTCCTCCTCCTCCTCTTCCTCGTCCTCGTCCTCCTCGTCATCGTCATCCTCCTCCTCCTCGTCCTCCTCCTCCTCTTCTTCCTCGTCCTCCCTCTCCCCCCCTCGTCCTTTCATCATCGTCCTCCCATTGTCGTCCTCCCCCTCATCGGCCTCCATCATCGTCCTCCCATTCATCATCATCATCATCATCATCATCATCATCATCCATCCATCACCATCATCATCCATCACCATCATCATCATCATCATCATCATCATCATCATCATCATCATCCTCCCCCCTTCCCCTCCTCCTCCTCCCCTCCTCCCCCTCCTCCCCCTCCTCGTCCTCCTGCTCCTCCTCCTTTTCTCTCTCCACATTATCCTTACATCCTCTCTTCTTCCGCGTTCTCCTCGTCCCCTGTTTACTCCTCCTGCCTCCCCCTCCTTTCCCAAGATAACTGCAACGCAATCCTTTTTTCCACTTTATGCTCCCCGCCTTCTCTGATCAAGGCAACTCGCCAGGGCAAAGTTGCTGGACGGGCTGGTGTGGATGCGCGGGGCTTGAAGAGGTCCTTGCGGGCTCAGACGGCATGCGAAAATCCGCCGCCGCGCTTGTGCGGCATTGGTTTGTTCAGTGAACGTGGTTTAGGTCGCGGGTGGGTCGCGGGCTCTCCACCTCCACCTGGAAGGAATGCAAAAGCAGCCCGCCGCAGGCGCCAACAAAAATTGGTTTGTACACTGAACGTGGTTTGGGTCGCGGGTGGGCCGCGGGTTCTCCACCGGGAACGAATGCAAAAGATGCCCGCCGCAGGCGCCGAAAAATATAGTTTGTACCCTGAACGTGGTCGCGGATGGGCCGCGGGCTCTCCACCTGCAAAAGATGCCCGCCGCAGGCGCCGAAAAATGTGGTTCGTACCCTGAATGTGGTTTGGATCGCGGGTTGGTCGCGAGTTGGTCACGGGGTAGGTCGCGGGCTCTCCACCTGAAGGAATGCAAAAAAAAACCCGCCGCAGGCGCAGGCGCCGAAAATGGTGGGTCGAAGGTGGGTCGCGGGTGGGTCGCGGGGTGGGTCGCGGGTGGGTCGCGGGTGGGTCGCGGGTGGGTCGCGGGTGGATCGCGGGGTGGGTCGCGGGGTGGGTCGCGGGGTGGGTCGCGGGGTGGGTCGCGGGGTGGGTCGCGGGTGGGTCGCGGCGGGTGGGTCGCGCGGGTGGGTCGCGGGTGGTCGCGGGTCGCGGGGCGGGTCGCGGGTTGGGTCGCGGGTTGGGTCGCGGGTGGGTCGCGGGGCGGTTGCGGGTGGGACGACGAACAACAACAACAACAACAACAACCACAAACAACAACAAAACAACAACACCAACCAAAAACACCACCAACACCACCACCACCACACACCCACCACCACCACCACCAACAACAACACAACAACAACAACAACCAACAACAACAAACAACAACCAACACCACCACCACCAACAACAACAACAACAACAGCAAACAGCAACAACAACCAACAACAACAACAACAACACAACAACCACAAAACCACAACCACAACAACACAACAACAACACCAGCACCAGCACCAACAACAACAACAACAACAACAACAACAACCACAACCACAACCACAACCACAACAACAACAACAACAACAACAACAACAACAACAACACCAACACCAACAACAACAACAACAACAACAGCAACAGCAACAGCAACAGCAACAGCAACAGCAACAGCAACAGCAACGGCACCAGCAACAGCAACAACAACAACAACAACAACATCAACAACAACAACAACAACAACAACAACAACAACAACAACAACAACAACAACGAGAATCCGCACCGCGGAATTCCACTTCAGCCACGCACCCAGGGACAGTGAATGACCGTTCGGCCCCCTCACTCTGACAACAGCCCAACGCGACAGAAACGCTATTTCTCCAAGGTCCAAACGGAGTTCTTCGATCGACGCTGGACCCACCTCCCTGGCGCGCGGAGGGCGTCAGGGGTGGCTCTGGAGGCGCTACCAAGGGGACCCAGCGAAAATCCAAGAAACCCGCGCGGGGCTCCGAGAATGTATGTGTATGACGGCTTTGTTGTCCTTCAATTCCTTCCCTCAGGACCCCCTCCCTCAGGCAGACGAGCGCGTTCCACTACTCCCAAAGTGACTACCCGCAAATTGCCTGGATCCGCTGCGGGAGATCCACAATCCATCACATCGAGGAAGACATGTGTGCTCCGGACGTTTGCGAGCAGGCACTTTGCGAATAGTGGAACGCGCTCGGGGATCGGGACCCCATCGTCGAACCACCGCCTCCGAGCAGCAGGCCTCCCCCTGCCCTCCGAGCCCCCGCGCCGGCGCGGCAGGCGCGAGCGCCGCCGCCTCGGCGCCGCGGTCGTGCCGCGCGGCCAAGCTGGCGCCGGGAGGCACTGGCCACTCGCCCGCGCCCCCGCCGGGGAGGGCGGCGCCAGGGGCCCTGCCGGTGGCGCGAGGGCAGGGCGGGGCGAGGAGGCTCCCCAGAGGGGGGGGGGGCGCGGAGGAGGCAGGAGAGAAGGACGGCGGGGGGGAGGAGGTGGAGGAGGCAAGCTAGGTGCGGTAGCGTCACATCTGACGTCCTAACCCTCCCTGCCATCCCTTACCATGGCGCAGATCTCCTCTCCATTCGCACAGCTGTTGGAAATGGACCGGCGGTGCAGCGGGGGCACGATGTAGAAGGGCTGGAGCGCGGGAGCGAGGCTAGGACCGAAAACAGGAATGAGGCCAGTGCTGCAGCGGGAGCACGATTTGACAGGACCGCAGCACTGGTGCGGGAATAGAGGCGCGGGAACGAGGCCAACGCTGCAGCGGGAGCACGATTTTGAATGACCGGAGCGCGGAAATGACGGCGGCGCTGCAGCGGGAACAACATTTTGGAAGGGGAGAACCGAATGATGAATGACTGTGTGAAAACAATACGCGGAGAGGACAGGGCCCTCTCCAGGCAGAGTCAGGGGAGAGAGGAAAGTAGCACTCGTATTGTGCAGTTGTGGAGGGAGGGGGGGAGAGGAGGGGGCAGGGGCGGGGAGCCATTGGGGGGAGGGGGGAGGGGCGGAGGAGCCATGATGGTAAAGGAGGAGGAGGAAGAGGAGGAGGAGGAGGAGGAGGAGGAGGAGGAGGAGGAGGAGGAACGCGGCAGCGTCCTAGAGACACCAATGCCTACAGCGCGGAGCGAACAGGAGGAGGACGAGGAGGACAAGGAGGGGGAGGAGGAGGAGGAGGAGGAGGAGGAGGAGGAGGAGGAGGAGGAGGAGGAGGAGGAGGAGGAGTAACACACGCTGCGAGCTGTTCGGGGGGCCTTTCCAAGAAGGCATGCATGGGGGACCTCGGAGGCGGTGCTGCTCCTTTTTCCAGGGCTTCCGAGGAGGTGTCCTTGGAATGCGGGGGGGCTCCTGCGAGGCGGGGTGCCTTTTTGCCGGTCTTTGGTTCCTGACACCGCGGGAATCGTTCAACCTTGAACGATCGGCTGTTTCCGAGAAAACGCCTGATCGTTCAAACATTCACCGATTCTCGGTCGCTGGCGGCGTTCACGTTGGACGCCAACGGCGGGGTCGCCGCCGGTGGACACGACGCGAACATACGGTGAGCAGGTCTTCCGACCGACCAAACTCCGCGCAAACGCAGACCCCGAATCCCTCCTGGGGACCACCATGGCCCAAGGTTCCCTTCTTCGGCGTCTTAACCTGTTCGACGACCGAATGGACAGCCAAGCAAACTAAGTTCCGACAGGCTCTAAGGAATTGAGCCCGTTCGGCCGCCGAATCGGATGGACCTTGAGTCTGCATCGGCGACCGAATGGGCCCACACGGAATGGACTCACAGGAGGGGAGCACGTTTTCCGAGCCGCGCCCAGTCGTGGCATCGAGGGGGTGCCCGAAAGTCGTGAAAAGCTATGAAAACGAGGAGGAGCCAGTCCTGTGGCATGAGGGGAATTCAAGCAGGGCAAACCATCAAACCAATCAGCACAGACTGGGTAGCGAAATTAGTAAAGTAACAGACGACAACAAGCGTAGCGACTGGCTTGTGTTCACTGACTAGTTGCTAGTGCGCCTATATGTGATCGAATGAGGCGGCCGAGGGACGTGAGCTGGTTGGGCCCGAAAAAGTCGGTCAAGAGGGGGGGAGTGAGGACTGAGGCCAAATCCGCTCAAAATCGGTCACAGACCCCTCCCCCGGATCTGTTTTTGACGGTCCTGGAGACGGCCCCGTGGGCTGAAAAAGGCGCAAGAAACATATCGAGCCCAGAACCTCGAGCCTAGCCCCCTCTTGTCCTGGTCGTAACCTGTGCTGGGCCGCCTCAGACCCCAAGCCGACTCCAAGCGCAAACTGGCCAGCAACAAGCCAGGCAGCAGGCTTGAAGGGGAAACACAGGACAGCAGAAAACTCAGTAGTGGATTTGTGCTGACAGGTCTGCGCTGTTATGAGAAAAAGTCCTGGTGGAAACGAGCTGTGAACCCCACTGGGGCTGTCTCCACGATCGGTGCCCCAATCTCCACAGTAGATATGCCCTTGGCAGGGCCCTGGGAACCCAAGAGCAGTGAAAAAACCTCCGGAGCGCAAGACCCACGGAGAGGCCTTACTCCCTCCTCAATCCTCGATCGAAACGACCATAGAACGCCCCGCGGCGACACCGAAAAATCGAACACCGACCGCATCGACAGCAAAACCCAAACCGACACCAGAACCACTGGGCCGAAAGCAACCTACAAGGTCGCAGCGGCGCAGCCACCGACCGAACAGAAGCGACCGCCTGCAGTCGACTGCGACGACGCCGAGCCGACCGAACCGCGGACAGCCTCGACGACGACGACGACGATTGAGCCAGGCCTGTGCCTCTACAGGAAGAATATTCAAAAATAGTCCAAAAATAATCCGGGGACGATTTGTTTTAAAATACGTTTTGACCCTTTGGGGTATGTTCTGCGTATTTTCAATCTTTCGTCCAAAATCCCCCTGTAGGGGGACATGCCCGACCTAAGACGACGACGACGACGACGACGACGACGACGACGACGACGACGACGACGACGACGACCTCGACCTCGACGACGACGACGACGACGACGACGACGACGACGGCGGCGGCGACGACGACGACGACGAGTCCACTGCGCGCGGCCGGCTCCTGGCGAGGGCCGGCGGCCGCGAGGAGGGCAGCCCCTCGCCCGGGCGCGCGCGGGAGCCCGGCAGCGCCGCGGGCGCCGCGGGCCCCGGCCCGAGCCGCGCCGCCCCGCCCGCGGCCTCGTGCGCGGCCGCCGCGCCGCCCCTCCGCGCGGCGGCCGCGGGCTCCTCGGGCCGCGCGCCGCGCGGCGCGGCGGCGGCGGCGCAGCGCATCGGTGGGCCGAGCGGCCGCGCGCGGCGCGGTCCGCGCCGCGCGCCTCGCTGGCGCGCCAGCGGCGCGGCCGGGTGGGCGCGCCGGGCCCGGGCTGGAGCGGCCGCGGACACGTGCGGCGGGGCCTCGGGCCCTGAGCGCGCGAGCGCCCTGCCCTGAGATCTGGGCGTCACATGCTTGTTCACAGAAGCGGGCCCTCCTCGTTCTCCTCGTCCTCCTCGTTCCTAAGTGCCTGACCCGCGGGCGCCCGCCACGTCGCCACGTCTATGCTTGTCGGAATGGTGCCTGCTGGGAGAGGCCTGGGCGTCGCATTCTTCCATACAAGGCATTCTTCACGGATCACCTCGCTCGACTGTGCTTCCCAGTCGAGGCTGCTGAGAGGTGTAGGCGAGTGCCGCACGAGCTGATGTATTCTGCCAGCGGCTGATGCAGCCAAGCGCATAATCATCAGCAGCTGGATCATCAGCATCAGTACCGCCATCACCATCACCATCACCATCACCATCATCATCATCACTTCATCAGCAACATCATCATGATTAGCATCAGCATCAGCATCATCACCATCATCATCATCATCATCATCATCATCAGCATCATCATCAGCATCATCATCAGCATAATAACCAGCATCATCACTATCACCATCACCATCACCATCATCACTAGCACAATCACATCATCACCACCATCATCACCACCATCATCAGCATCATATCAGCATCATCATAATCCCCATCATAATAATAATCATCATCACTGTCGTCGCCATCATCATCATCAACATCCCCATCATCATGATCATCATCCCCGTCATCGTTATCATCAGCATCAGCATCATCAGCATCGTCATCGTCATCATCAGCATCATCATCAACAACATCGCCACCACCATCATCACCCGTCAGCATCATCATCATCAGCATCGCCATCGGCATCATCATCAGCATCATCAGCATCATCAGATCATCAGATCATCATCATCATCATCATCATCATCATCATCATTATCATCATCATCGTCATCACCACCATCATCATTGTCGGCGTCCGCATGACCAGAATACTTATCTTCATCACCCTCATCATCACCACCATGGGCCATCGTCATAACCATCATCATAATTATAAGCATCACCAGTATCAGCATCATCACCATCATCATCGTCGTCATCATCATCGTTGTCGTTCTCTTCCTCGTCCACGTCATCATAATCTCGTCCACTTGACCTCGTGTTCGTCATCATCAGCATCATCATCATCATCATCATCATCTCTTCCACCATGATCACAATTCCCAGGACTCATCATCATCAACAGCAACATCATAATCAGTATCAACATCGGCATCATCAGCATCTCCATCAGCATCGTCTTCATCCTCATCATAGCCAGCCTCATCATCATCATCATCATCATCATCATCAAAATCACCATCACCATCACCATCGTCGTCGTTCAGACATCCATCATCAGCATCATTATGGGTGTGTCATCAGAATCGTCATAATCATCATCATCATCATCATCATCATCATCATCATCATCATCATCATCATCACCATCACAATCACAACCAGCATGACCATCATCATCACCATCACTGTCATCATCATCACCATCACCATCACCACCACCACCACCGTCACCATCACCGTCTCCATGACCATCACCATCACTTTCACCATCAACATCAACACCAACATTATCAGCATCATCATCATCATCATCATCATCATCATCATCATCAACATCAACATTTCCATCATCATCAGTATCGCACTCGTCGTCGTCACCATCCTCCTCCTCCTCCTCCTCCTCATCCTCCTCCTAAGCATCATCATAATCTGCTGAATGAGCCCTCAAAGCTGGATCTGGCTCGAAGTCTGCTCCAAAGGCGTAGTCCTGGCTTCACGGCCGTGGTGTTCTCGCCGCATGTTCGTCCCAGCGTCGGATGTCAGGGTTCGGCGCGTTTGCCTCGAGTCACTCGCGCACTGCACAAGCCGCTCGAGCACCCTGCAGAGCGCTGGCCAAGGAGAGGGAAGACCAGGAGCATGGGCACGGAGGAGGAAGAGGAGAAGTGCCCCGCGTGGACGCACCCGACCTTCAACGACCTGGGTAAGGACAGACCAGCTGCCTCCTTGATCTACAGTGTGGCCGCGGCCGCAAGAAACCTTCGCAAGAAACCCAATCCTGAAAACCCGCGCGCGAGGTACATCAGATGGGAAACCCGGAGCACCCTGAACGCAGCAGCTTCTTCGACGGCTGCGGGAAGCCACCGCGCAGCGCGCGGAGCGAAGAAACCCAGGATATCCTTTCCGAAAAGCAAGTGGTTTCTTGATGCGCGCCCCCACTGTACCTCTCGCCCCCTTCGCCTCCCTGCCCATGTGTCGTCTGAGCAGCCTCGTGCCCCAGTCGGTGCGGAAACGGGGAGGGGGCCCGCGTGTGCCAGCGGCCATTGAGAGGGGGGAGGGCGGGCTGTGATCGGGATCGGGCGCCACGCTGCTGCCCACGGAGGGTGATGTAGGGGAGCTCCAGGGGGCGAAACGTGGAAATCGCCGCGCCGTCTGACTGACGCGGCCCGGCACGACGGACGCCGCACCCCCCGCCCCCGAGAGCACCCCACAAAACGGCACACAACCGACGACGAGGATGATGGGGCCCATGACACGGGCATTCGAACAGGAGGACTACAATGGTGGGGGGTATGTCCAGGTGCTGCTAGGGACCCCGCGCCTTTGGGCAAAGGTTGAGGACGATGGCGCGGACGAGAAGCAGGAGCTGGAAAGCGGAAGGAAGGAGGAAGGCGATGGGGAGGCAGGAAAGAATCGACGGCAGGAAAAGCACAAGGGTGGAGAAAGCGTACCCTCGGAGCCCATACGCCCACAGAAAAGGATACGATTACCCTCCCCTCCTCCTCCTCCTCCTCCTCCTCCTCCTCCTCCTCCTCCTCCTCCTCCTCCTCTGCCTCCTCCTCTGCCTCCTCCTGATCTTTGCCTTCCTTGCTATCCTCGGCCTCCAGCCCTCCCCCTCCTGCTCCTGACCATTTCCCTCATCGTCCCTCTGCCCGTCGTCATCTCACTCATCCAGCCCCCTCGTTGTCTTCCTTCACCTCGTTATCCGTCTGATCCTCCTCCTGCTCCAGAAGCCTCCTTGTCATCCTCCTTCGTCCTCCTCCTCCTCGTCTTCCTCCTCCTCTTCCTCCACCTTCTCATCTTCCTCCTCTTCCTCCTCCTCCTCCTTTTCCTTCGTCATGGTTTCCTCCTCGTCGTCCCTGGCAATCCTGCTCCTTCACCTCCTCTGTCCGCCTCCCAAGTGCCCCTAGACTAGAGAATCCTGTACCCTCATACACGTAAACCCCAGTCTCCCCCATAAGCCACCCCTCCGCAAGTTCTTCTCACCATCTCTCATCATCACTTGAATTTCCCTTCGCCCTCACATTCCCCCATCACCCATGTGCTCCCTCTCGTCGTCCTCCACATCATATCCAGAACATCCGTGGCAGATCAGTAAACAAATGATAGCATGACCACCCAAGGGATATCCGAGACGATGGACATCATAAGGGGCTCGTTGTTCGTTTGCGTGCTGCATGCTGAACCTATCCATTGCGAGCCCAGCTATCTGAGGCAACACCCAAAGGACAACCAGTCGCAGGCTCAAGATGTCACTCCGCTAGACCTCTGAGGAGCCCACCAAGGTGGCAACAATTTGTCGGGTCGGGCGAAAGGGGGGGATAGCAAAGGGGGGGGTGAGAATCAGCTCACGTAGCTGATTTTCCCGGCGCCTCCCGGCGCCAAAGGCGGCTATGTATCAAGGAATGGGCCCCTCGGTGGGGCCGAAACCAGCTGCATGCAGCAAATTTCGTAACCCCCCCTTTCCCAATCCCCCCCTTTCGTCCGGCCCGAATTTGGCAGCTGGCAACGCTCAGGGCATACCTCGTTTGTCAGCGTTCGACATCCCTCCGCTGCTGCGGAACGAGGATCTCACAAAAGCGGCGATCGGGGATGGTCAGACCCCCCTTTAGCAAAACGTGGTTTAGTGAAAACGACCTGAGGCCCAAACCTGGCGGGAGCAAGCCTGGAAAATGACGGCCACGGCGCCCTCTCGAGAACCGAAAACGGACAATTCACTAATCGACGTGTCACTGTTGGGGGTTCTGTCCACCCCCGAGGCGACAGTTGCTCAGTTGGCAGTAACCAAGGGGAGCGAAGTCCCGCTCGGATGCCCATGACCGCCCTCTGCCGGAGCTCACTATTGCTCACGACTGCGGCGACACTGGCGCGACTTGTAACACCCAGAGAGGACAAGGTTCCGTTTGGATCGAGACGGACCGAACTCCGCTGGACTCACACGAGCTCACAGAAGTGACACCAGCTGCGCAGTCGGCAGCGCCCAGGGAGCAGCGAAAGCGAGAAGGAAGCAAGATACAGGAGGAGCAACAAGTGCACGACTCAAAACGAATACCGAACCACATGCGAACCCATCGTAGCCAACGGGAAAACCTGATCGCCGGCCAACATTGCAGAAACCATCCGACAACCTGCATCCTGCTCCTCCCCCTCCCTCTGCCCCTTACACCCGACCCCTCCTCCTCCTCCTCCTCCTCCTCCTCCTCCTCCTCCTCCTCCTCCTCCTCCTCGATGCCGTAACAAGGGGCAGGGCGCGGGAAGGATACGGGTCGGGGACGGAAAGACCCCCCTTTAGCAAAACGTGGTTTAGTGAAAACGACCTGAGGCCCAAACCTGGCGGGAGCAAGCCTGGAAAATGACGGCCACGGCGCCCTCTCGAGAACCGAAAACGGACAATTCACTAATCGACGTGTCACTGTTGGGGGTTCTGTCCAGCCCCGAACTGGGAGGGGGCGCAACGGAATAGGGAGGGGGGGGAAGGAGAGAGACGCCGGCCCTCGCTCGCCGCCGCATTTGGTTTTCGGGTCATACCTCGGCTCTCCGGCGGGCGCTCGGGACGATGCGGGCAGCTCCGGAACGCCCGCGGCGAGGCGCAGCTGCTGGCAAGCCTCCCGAGGCTGGAACAACGCCGAGGACCGAGGAACACGCCCGAAACCCTCGAAACCCTCGAACCTCGAACCACGAACTCCAGAGGGGGGTCCTCACCCCTCCAGACGTGACGCCTGCACGCCCCACGGCATCGCTGTCCACGGCGACGTTGGAGCGACACCGCGCCGTGCTCCGCAGGAGGCGCTCCCAGCTGTGCGGGCGGAGCGGTGTCGGCGCCTGTCCCGTCCTGCCTGCAGACAAGACGAAGGCAGGACGAGGACAAACTTGGATGAAGGGGCCCAAGGACACGCAAACAAATACACACAAATAAAATAATTCCCCATATTGTCCCATATTTCCTGGGTTTCTGTCTTCCCCCCACTTCCCATATCTTCCAAATTTTCCTGGGAGATCGACGATAAATTGTGTCTGCGTGTTCCTTCCCCTCCTGATTGGATAAGAGCGAATCGAGGATCTCTGAGAGTCAGCGGGTCTGTTGTGCGCTAATTTAATAGGCGGCGATGTGTCGGAGGAGAGGTGCTCTCTTCAAGACCCCAACACCCCTCTGTGTGAGCCCTGAAAGGCCCCTTTGGGGCCCTAAAGAGCTCCTTTTCGGCAGTCCTCGCTGCCCCCCCATGCATCGCCCCCTGATGACGCGGCCTCGAAGTCTGGAGGACGTATCTCGGGGGCGGCCGCGAGGGGGGGCGTCCAAGAGGGGGGGGGTGGGGCGCAAGTCATGGCTGGAGGCATGTGCGCGGCCCAGGGGGAGGGCCGGGGACGCATTGAAATAAGAAGACGCGCCCTGAAGTTTAGGGACATACGGTAGAGGGAAACAATTACTGAACACATCCCCTCCCCCAACTCAATGTTGGCACGCGCGGAAAACACTGCGGTCGAAGTGCATGTCATCAGACCCACCGCCAACTTTGAACATTGGGGGGAGGGGGGGAGGCGTTGCCATATGAATGTGGCATGAGTGTTCGCTAATTTGTTCCGAGGCCTGTATCATGGCCCCCCCCGCCATGGTGTCCACCCCCCCTGAGTCACCACCCCCCTCTTGGCTGCCCCCGACATTACGCGGCCTCCAAGTCTGGAGGACGTATCGGGCGCCGGGCAGGATGAGAACGACCTCGGATGATGATGAGTCCAGGGCTGGGCCTGAACGTTGTTTTTCCTTTTGTTTCTCGTTCTGCCCAACCTGCTTTTTGTTGTACCTCCCTGCCAAAACGAAACACATAACACCGCCGAAGTCCAGCAAAACAACGCGTAGGTCCAGAGGAACAGGTGAGGGAAAGGGTGAGGAGGAGACGTGAAGGGGCCCTGGGACACACAAATAAATAGACACATGTAACCGGATTTCCCATATGTTTCCAAATTTTCTGGGTTTTTGTCTTCCCCCCACTCCCCATATTTTTTCATATGTTCTGGGGGATCGACGATTCATTGTGTCTGTGTGCTTCTGTGTCCCTCCTGAAGGAGGGGGAGCAAGAGCAAGAGCAGGAGGGAGCAGGAGGAGGCCGAACCACCTCGGATGAGGATGCATCGGGGATCTCTGAGAACCGGCGGGCCCGGGGGACTCATCGGGAGCCGCGGCCGCTCCGGAGCGTTCTGGATCGCTCTGGCGCGGATCTGCCCTGATCGGTCTGCCTGGCCTCCTCTCCTCTCCTTCGGGAGCAACTACTGGGACGTCTTCGTCGGAAAGAACAAAGAGGCTTAAGCCCCATTGGGGGGCTACTATGCGGGATTAAGCCAGATTGAGCCAGATTCAGCGGGATTCAACGGGAATAAGCCGGATTCAGCTGGATGTCGGCCAGGGCAAAGTCAGAATGTAAACTCCCAGGAGTTGCATCCGAACTCTCCGAGGCTGATCCAGTGGCCGAACAGGCGCGCAGATCTCCAAAGGCCTCCCCACCAAAAAAACATCCAAAGATCACCGATTCCCCCCTGCTCCGGAAACCTCCTCCTCCTCCTCCTCCTCCTTCCCTCCTCCATCAGGCCCAGAATCCAGAGGAAACGCCAGAGCAAAATGCACCCTGAGGCGCAGTGTTTCCTCGTGCGTGCCTGCCCTGCGATTGGACGTGCCCTGCGTGACGAAGGATCCCCCTCTCCACCTCCCTCTACCTCCTCCCGCGGGGTCGGCCAAGAGGGGGGTGTCCAAAAGGGGGGGGCGCAAATCATGACCGGCGGCACGTGCGCGGCCCAGCGGGGGGGGCCAGGGACGTAATGAAACAAGAAGAGGCGACATGAGATCTGGGGAAATGTCATGGACCGCGCCATGATATCCACCCCCACTAGTCACCACCCCCCCTTTGCCGCCCCCGACCTCTACCGCCTCCCGTTGCATCCGCTCTCCATCACCTCTCCCCCAGGATGCGGGCCCGGTGGGGCCGGAGACCAGCGCAGACCTCCGAAGGTCGAAGACCTCGTCCCCCTCCTGAGATATCAGGGAGCGATCCTCCTCCTCCTCCTCCTCCTCCCCCTCCTCCCCCTCCCCCTCCCCCTCCTCCTCCTCCTCCTCCTCCTCCATCTCCTCCTCCTCCTCCTCTTCGAGAGACCTCGGAAAGCCGCCTCCATGGAACACCTCCCCCCTGGCCCTCCCCCGCCCTCCCCCTCTCCAGGCGACGTCGTCGGGCAACGACGGCGGCAACGACCAGGACGACGGGCGAGGGCGACGACAACAGGCGAGGACGGCGACGACGACGGAGGGCGACGTCAACGACGACGAGGCGGGGGCCTGATGGCCGAAGACGTCCGCCCAGTTGAGACGCTCCAGTACGGCGTACCTGTAGTCGAGCCCCGCCGCCTGGGCAATCCTCCTCCACGACATCTCTTCCTCCGTCCTCCTTCCTGCTGCCTTCCTCCCCCCTCCTCCTCCCTCCCTCTTCGGACCTTCCTCCCTCTCGATCCCTCTTCGTTTGAAAATGCATCCTCCATGTCGCTCCCGCAGACGTGTCGGTAGGGCGTGCCCGGCGTTTCCCCTGAGACCTCCTCACAACTTAGGATCCTGAAGCTTGGAAGTTTACGAAGCTTCACAGATAAAGTGTGAGTCGTTTTCAACATGTGGCTCTCACCTTTACGTCGCGCATGTTTGTCTTATAGGATTGCAGCAGCTTCAAGGACGGAAGGGGGACGGGCTAGTTTTAAAATGTAGCTCTCGGGTTAGCGCAGCGCACATTTGTCACGAAGGTGCGCAAACAAACTTCAATGCTGGATGACATATCGTTTTCAAATATAGCTCTGAACTCAACGCTGTGCACATCTGTCTCAAATGCTGCAAAAACCTGAACAGGATGCAGTGCAGGGCGGCTCTTTTGCTAAATGTGGTTATCGCCATGACGTCATGCACAGTGTCATGTTCAAATTGCAGCAGCTTCAGGAACGGAGGGGTATCGTTTCCAAAATGTGGTTCTCGCCTCAGCGCTGCGCACTTGAATAGGTTCAACGATGGAGGGGGTGCCCGTTTCAAAGTGGGACATCGCCTCAACGCAGCGCGCAGTGGACCTAGAATCCCACCAGCCCTCTGGGCGAAGGTGGTTGAACGAATGTTGTCGTCTCTCTGCCAAAGCTCTCTCCTTCCCCTGCTCGGGGCAGGGGATTCCGCCCTCCCCCTACCACCTCCCCTGGGCCTGGAACGGGCGCCCCGCGAAGGGTCACAACGCCCAAGGTGGCCCAAGTTGGCCCCAAAAGGGCCTCTGAGAGCGCAAGGTGGCCTCCAAGATGGTTCGAGATACCTCAAGATGGGTAAAATTAGCCTCCGACTCACATCTAAGAGGACGCAAGACGACCCCAAGACGTTTTCAAGTGCCCTCCGAGCCCACCAAGGACCCCCCCAAGAGGCCACAATGGCTCCCAAACCAATGGAACTTCATTGTTTATCGCCTTCTCGCCGTTTCGCTTCCGATGGGCTCTTATGCCCAACTCAAAAATGCCTACCAAGGTTTTGGCTACAGTTTGGCCTCTGGAGGAGAAAGAGGGGGCCCAAGCAAAGAGCTTCCCATCACATGGTCGATGTTTTCCAAGATGGCCCCAATCTGGCCACCGAGGCTCTCAAGGGTGACCCAAGACGGCCCGAGACGTGCCTAAAAGGCCCCAGCAGGCCCCAAAGAGGCTCCCAATATGCTCCCAAAAAGGCCCCCACAACGCCCCCACCAAAACCCCAAAGGCACCCAAGACGCCCCAAGAGGCCGCGGCGAGAGGACCGAAACCACTGTTTGCAAGAAGGTGTTGGCCACGTGTTGGCCTTCTGGGGGGGGGGGCATGCTACAACGACCCGTCCTCTGATCGATCTCCTCCATGATGGCCCGAACAAGGCCCCCGGGGCTCCCGAAGGTGCCCCAAGACGGCCCCGATACGTGTCCACGAGGGAAGGCGCCCACGAGGCTCCCGAGATGCCCCCAAGAAGCTCCAACAAGACCGCCAAAAAACCCATAAAAGGCTCCCAAGCGGCATCCGACGCGCCCCAAGATGCCCCCGGGACTGCCAAGAGACGCCCAAGACACCCCTAGGGAACTCCAAGAATCCCGAGGCAGAAATACAACGAGACTCGGAGAGGCATCCAAGAGGTTTCTGGACTTTATGTTTGTCTCCTCCTCTTCCTCCTCCTTCCCCTCCTCCTCCTCATCCTTCCCGTTTTCCTCCTGTTTCCCTCCTCCTTCTTATCCCCATTAACATATTATTTTGGATCCGACGGGGGTCTTGTCTAGAGAGCCATTCATATCCGTGCGCCACGTGGCAGGGAAAATGCTTCAAAAGGGCAAACATCGGGCACCAAAGTATGCGCACGACCCCCCCTCGCCGATGCCATAAGACTCGAACTAAGAACACGCGCGCAACCCTCTTCACAGACTTCGGCCCGCAACTCCGACATGCTAGATTCTGCTAGATGCGCATTTGGTCCGTTAAATTACCACGCCGCCGCTGCCAAGGCCCTGCCCGCGCAAGCAACGCACGCGCCTGAATTCGCCAGTGCCCCCCTTAAGGAAAACCCATATGCAGGGCCACTTGGCCGTTGGCGCACTGGGTCTTCTGGGCCACCAAGTCGCGCGAGGTGGGCTGATAATCGCAACGCAACTGGGTTGCTGGACCCGCGCGCCGCTGCGCCCCTGGGCCGCGAGGCAACGAGGCAGCCGCGGCGCCATCGGGGACCGCCCAAACCTCTCCTGTGCCAGGCCCGCCAAGGCAACGGACCCCTTGCCCAACGGGCCGCTTGACCGCTGTGCCGTCCGACGCCCGCCCTAACCCGCGCCCGCATGCACCGCTCGCCGCTCCACTGCATCAGAAGCACGCGGCGCAATGGGCAATCGCGCCGCGGCACCAGCTGGGGTTCTCTTTCCGACTGAGAACCAGGGTTGTGGCCGAGGGGGCACTGCGCCAGTGGGCCAGGAACAGCGCGATGCACGATGCGCTGCCAAGGTGGCCACTGGGGAACTGGGCCACAACGCCACTGGGGCCGCTTGGGCACTGACACTTTGAGCAACGGCGCCAGCGCCACGGGGCTGCTGCGGCACCTGGCAAGCGCGGCCGCTGGATTCCCCGGCGGGCGGCCGACGATGCGCCGCTCGTCCAGCGGGCTCGGCATGTCGGGCGGAACTTGTCCGCGGGGGCAGCGGATAGCGCGTAGGGCGGGGGTGGTGGGGGGGGGGGGCGGAAGGGCGGGGGCAAGGCGAAAACCCGCTTATTGTTGGGTCGTTGTTGACGCGGGGCGCGCGACCGGCACGCCGCGCGGGCGCTCCGCCACTCAGCCTCTGGGATAGGAAGGCACTGCGCGGTTGGACCACCGCGCCGCGTTGCCAGCGGGAGGGCGGGAAGCGAGTCAGACGCGCCAAAGCTCGCCCTGGCAACCGCGCAGCGCGTCATCGACCGGCGCGCGGCGCCAATGGCACTAGGCCAACTGGACAGACAAACGTTATTGGAACATTGCAATTGGGGCAACTTGGCAATGGCAGAATTGCGCAAGTGAGGCGGAGGGGCGGTGGGCCAGTGGCCAATGTGGCCACGCCGCCGCCGGGGCACTGAGACGCGGATCGCCGGCCGCATGAACCACGCGGACGTTGGCGGCCGAACGGGCGAGGCGCGGGCCACTCCGCTGACGGGTTCGCGGCGACCAATCGCGCCGGGCGACTCACCCTCGCCCCTGGCGGGGCAACGTGCGGGCGCGGCTATCCTGACCAAGTCGCGCGGCGCGGAGGGCACCCGGAATCCTCGAGGCGCCTTGGCGCGTTTTTTCGGGATGGGGCGGAGGGGCGGGGGCTCCTCGGACAATTTCCGCGGCGGGCGCCGGCCGCGCGGCGACGGGGGGGGGCCAGGGGTCGCGTCGCGCCAAATTCAGAGACGGGGGCCTGGCAAGTCTCGCGGCCCCCCATGGGCGACGGGCGCAACGTCGACGGCTGGGAGCGGCGCGCGAGCACGGGGTGGGCGCAGACAGCGCCGAGGCGCTCAAACCCGGGGCAACCAGAATCAAAGCCCGACCCCCGCCGCCGCGAGTCGGGTCGCCAAGGCGTGCGACGCGCGACGCGCGCGGAGCGTCGGGCGAGTCGCCCACTCGCCAGTCGCCAGTCGCCCACGCGAACTTCGCTGCTGTTGCCGCGTCCTGGATGGAAAGTGCCGCAAATTGTCGGCGCTGAAAATTCGGCGCGACGACCTGGCGCCAGGATCAGTCGGTGCCCAGACAATGGCGCGGGGGCGACATTCGAATATTGTGGCGCACGAGTTATGACGCGGCGACGCTGTCGACATTTTCTCACCTCTGACCGGCATGCCGAGCACATTAGATCTATTTTTTCGTCGTTCGAAGGGTCGCCCAACCCTTTGGCAAACAGCGCGGCGCCCTTTGCGCGAAGGCCGCTTTGCACAGATACGCGCAATTGAAACTCGTCACGATACCGCGGCGCCGCCGTTTGCCCCAAACGAAAACAAGCACGCAGAACCTGGCAACGGGACATTTGCACTGGCGGTGGCGTCGCGAACAAACAAGTCCACGCGTGCTACATCATTCCATCCAATACTTTAGCACGCGCGAGGCAGCGCGGAAAGCCCGCGAACGCTGGGCCGCCGACGCGGGGGCGCGGCACTGGCGAGGCGCGCGCGCGTGCAAAAGAGCGCGGCTGAACGGATCGCTCCACAACCGAGGGGGGGAGCACGAGCAATATTGGCGTAACGGCGAAATTCAGACGACCTTGGGCGTCGTCCAAGAAACGCTTGCGACGCAGCGTCTCACTTGGCCCCGCTACCACTGACGGGGCGCACCCCGCAAACACACAGCGCAGTACCCGCGCCAGCGCCGGGCTCGTTGCTCAAAGGCTTGGCGAAGGCGCGAGCAGGGCTTGGAACCAAAGTTGCAAATAGGCGTGCCGATGGTCGCTCGGCGACAAGGGGGGCGGGCGATAGAGGGGGAGGGCAATGGCAGGAAGTGAGCAAGGAATCAAGGGTGCAGAGATCAAGGAAGGGGGAGGGAGAAACAGGCGAAAGGGACGCGGGCAAGGAGGGACGGAAACACACGGAAGAGAGGAAACGAGGACAGCAAAGGCAAAATATGGAGGGCGAGGGAGGGAGCGGGGGAGAATGAGGGAAGGAACAAGGGGAAGCGGAAGACGAGGGAGGTGAATGGAGGGAAGTGGGAGGAACGAGAGGAGGGAGGAAACATGCAAGCGGGGGGTCGCAGTCCCGTCCCGACAGGGCGCCTACTTGACAACGCCCGCTCCTGTCCCGACAGGGCGTTTCTTTGACAACGCCCGCTCCGCTCCCGACAGGGCGCATACTTGACAACGCCCGCTCCGGTCTCAACAAGGCGCCTACTTGACAACGCCCGCTCCGGTCCCGACAGGGCGCCTACTTGACAACGCCCGCTCCGCTCCCGACAGGGCGCTTCCTTGACAACGCCCGCTCCGCTCCCGACAGGGCGCCTACTTGACAACGCCCGCTGTGGTCTCGACAGGGCGCCTACTCGACAACGCCCGCTCTGGTCCCAACAGGGCGCCTACTTGACAACGCCCGCTCCGGTCCCGACAGGGCGCCTACTTGACAACGCCCGCTGCAATCCCGACAGGGCGTTTACTTGACAACGCCAGCCGCGGCTTTCAGCGCATAACGTGCGCCACATAGCGCGCGCAGCAAAACTCGCACCACATAGATTGCACCACAGAGGTGGCGCCGCACAGCTTGCATCCACATGGATTGCGCCACATCGCGTGCAACCCATATCTTGCACCACCTAGCTTGCGCCACAGAGCTCACGCCACGTAGCCTGCACTACATCGCATCGGACGCATAGATTGCACCGCACAGTTTGCGCCACATAGATAACACCACATAGCTTGCATCACGTGGCTTCCCTCGCATAGCTTACACCACATAGCTTGCAACATGTAGTTTGCACCGCATAGCTTGCGCCATGCGAAGACAATAGCCTGGAATCTGGAGCACCGTCGGGACCCCCCGGGGCCATCCAGAAACCACCCGTCGGGCCACCCCCGGGGCCATCCAAAAACGCCGGCAGCCCCCCCCCCCGCGGCCATCCAAAAAGTGCGCGCGGGACGCTCGACAAAACCTCCAGCCAAAAATTCTGCCAAAAATTCCGCCGAAAACAATTTCGGATTCCATCGCCAATTTCTCCTCCATTTTTAAGCAGGAATCCCGTCGTAAGAAAATTGGCGGAGAGATTGGCGGCCGTCCCCCGGGGCGCTTGCGGGGTCCCCCGCGGGGGAGGGGCGGGAGGGTGGAGGGGGAGGGCCGGTGGAAACCGAGGGAGGAGGTGGAGGGCGAGGGAGCGCGAGGGGGAGCCGAGGGTAAGGGTGGAAGGTGATATGAACGAGGGTGGAAGAGCGGACGGAAGGTGAGGAACGATGGGGGACGGGGTGGGCGGGAGGAGGCAGGGCAAGTGAGATGAGGGAGGGCGGGGCGAGGGAGAATGGGTGAGGGCGGAAGGTGAGGGAGGGCGGCGGGCGGGGAGCGGATGTGGGGGGGCGAAGGAAGGCGAACGCATGGCGCGGAAAAGGGCGGGGGAGGGCGGAGGGGGGGGCAGGGCGGGGGAAGGAGGAAAAGGGGGGGGGCGAGGGGGCGGGGGAGCGAAGAGAGGGAAGGGAGGAAGAACAAGGGAGGTGACAGATAAAAGGAAAAAGGAGGGGCAGGAAGACGGAAGCAGGGATAACGAGGGTGAAGGAAGGAGAGACAAGGGTCCGCGGAGGGGGGAAAATGGTTGATGGGGGGGGCGGGGCAGGGCAAAAGCAGGCGGAATGGTGCAGGAGGGGCGGGGTGGGCGGACGGGGGCAGGCACCGGGAGAAAAGGCGCAGGAGGGAAAAGGCAGGAAAGGGGACCACGTCGTAGAGCCACCTGGGCTCTCGGGTTTCCTTAGGGCCCGTTGACACTGTCCTTCGGGACCCCTGGGTTTCCCAAAGGCTCCATCGGGGAATCTCAATAGATCTCCGTAAACGCCCTCGCCTCCCCGCGCAAACGTTGGGGAAGCGAGGGGCGACGTTCCAGAGAAGACAAATAATTACCCCGCCGACTGGCGAGGGAGGCCCCTGGGGGCTCCCCCGCTGGACTCTGGACGCCGGCGGTCGCGCCGAAAGGGCGGGGGCGCGTCGAAACGAGCGCTCGGCGATGAGTAGGGGGGTTTCGTCACGGCTTGGGGCGCCCACGCAACGGGCCGACGGTTTCCCCTGGGCGACGCTGACAGGGCGCTCGCCGAGACGGAAGAGTTCGCCACCCACGCGATTCGGCCTCCCAGCGATTGAACGAAAGCCAAAAAGAGTGAAACAAAAAACAAGGTGAGAAGAAGGACGACGGAAGGAGGACCGACGCGAGGCGTCACGGCCGCCGCCCAACGATCAAACGAACGAGGATGATCAAGGATGAGTCCGTCGGAACCTCCGAGCACGCTCGCGCAAAATCAAAGCAGCCATACTGTTACTTTTCACCGTGGGTTCTGGGAGGTAATGTGGAACTGGGCACCCCAATATTGGAAAAGGGCTGCCACGCCCGTCGGTCGCCGCGTCTCCCACGGAGCGGGGCGTCGGGGGTGCTACGAAGGGATGTTGCCCGGCAACAATACATGTAGCCGCGGATTGGGCCCGCGCGAGGGCCCCTTTTCCATGCGGGCACACTCTACGCCCCTCTTGGGGAGGACAAAACTCCCCAGTTGCGGCGATGGAGCAACACATGTGAACATCGCGCATATTCATGGGCTGGGCGACGCAACTCGGCGGTGGCCCGACTTCGGCCCGATGGCTTTGGATCAAACAGCGCAATACAAGTTGAACGCAATGTGGAGATCGCGCCAAATCAAGGGGAGGCAAAGCGGGCCCTCTCCAGCCGCCGATCTACGAATATGAGATAGAAAACTTAAACATAAAAACTGATCTCCAAACTTTCAGCCATTGGTCAGAGCTGAAGGCGCGCCAGCGCGGAATTTATTCCGGCTTCAAAAATCCCAGCAACAAAAATACTGACAAGTTCTGGGCGCTGACATTGCGCCGCGCGCCGAGCGGACGCGCTGCGGGCGCGGCGCAAGCCCGGCCGGCGAGGCCGGTCGCCCAATTTGGCAACCCGGACACGATGCCGAGCGTCCAATCCCCGGCCTGGCCCCGGCGCCGCGCGGCCGGGCGGGCCGGGCAACGCGCCGGTCGCGCAGTTCGCCGAATCGACGCCGCAGCGCGCGGGCCCGCCGCAGCGCGCGGGCCCGCGCGCCTAATTGCCCCGCGTGCGCCACATATGGGAGAGCAAGAAATTCGGCCATTGCGCGCCTACGCCGCCCGCGCCCAAGACCCCGCTTCGCTCGCGATTCTCCGATGGCCCTTCCTTCGCCGCGCCGCCCCGCGCATCGGGGCGCCGAGAAACCGATCGGCGGAATCGCCCGGAACCCCCGCCGCCCAGGAGCTAGGGGGGCTGGCGGCGACGTCGCGCAATTGCGCGGCGGCGCGACTGGCCATCCGCCTGCTCGCCGAGCGGAGCGCGGAGGCACTCGGCGCGAGCGGTTAAAATTGCTGCGCCCCCGCGCGCGAACAGCGTGGTAGGACGGCGCCGCCGCGCTTCTGCGCGCGCCGGCGGCCGGCGCCCCCCGGCGCGCTGAGCGCCGATGTCCGCGCGAAGCCGAGCGGCGCAATGACCCGGCCGCCCGCTAGCCGAATGGAAGGATCGAGCAGGCGCGAGACATCGCCACTCGGCCTCATCTGCGCGATCGGCCTCGCCGAGACCTGCTGCGCGATCAGATTTGACGCGCGGGGCCGCAGAAAAAGCGCCCATGCGGCGCGCGGCCCCGAGAGCCTACCTCTGGACCGCGGCCGCCCCCTGGGAGGCGCGGCGAGCGCCCGCCGCCGGGGCGCTGCATTTCCGACGCGGCCGTGCCCCCTGCGAAGCGCGGCGAAGGGTTCAGGCGCGGGCGCGCGCCGCCGTCGCGGCGCGAGTCCTGGCGGGGAAGCGCGCGTCGCAACGGCGGCGCGGCGTCTCCCGTGCAATCGCGGCTTGTGTCGACCTGGCACCGCGCCCATTGCGCGGCGGCGCGCGACCCCCCCACTCGCGCGGCGCCCCCCTCGCGCGGTCGCTCCGACATCGCGTTCCCGCAAGGCGCGCGAGACGCGCCAACAACCTGGCAAAACGCGCCAAGCAAAATTGCGTGCCCCAAATATCGACGCGCGCCGCTGCCAACGCGGGCCCGTGATTTGCCGCTGCGACGCAGGATGCCCCCACTGCGTTCGCGCGTTCGCGGTGGCGCTCCTCGACGCCCCCGTGGCGGGCGTGCGCGTCGACGCGCGCGCGCGATTCTAAGGCCCCCCGCGCGCGCCCCCTCCGTCGGATGAACAGCCGGTGTGGTCTTGAATTCCAATAGTGCACCGAACTCCACCATGCCGCACTCCGTATATCGAACCCCGTCGCATCGCGCGCTCGGTTGGCCTGGGATATCTCAGGGCCGCTGGAACCGCTGGGCACGTGTATATTACAGTCGCCACCCTCGCACGAAAGACTACTCTATGGCGCCAGCCAAGAAAACGACGGCCGTTGCTTCTACATAACTCCATTATTATGCAGCCGCTTCCCACAACATCCTCGCGCAATCCTCCTCCATCCTGACCCTTCGTCATCATGATCCGCTTTTTCAGCCAACTCGCAGCCCCTCATCCATCCACAATGTCTCCGCGGTGGGTCAGATAAGAAACGGGCGACCCATGGCAGAAATGCACGCGCGCCAAGACGCGCCCAAAACAACGCAGAAAACAGGCGCGCAACATAGGGAGTTGCGTTGTCTCGGTCATTGCCAGTGTTGACACATTGGCGCTGTCATACATCAGCACGACCACGCGTGAAAGCGAATTGCGTCACACGGGAAGACATCATGTCGGGCACCCTGTCCCCATCATCCAAAATCCAAGTTCTGCATATTTCTAAAATCCCACCATGCGGCCTGGAACTGCGTCCCCTGCAATCTAGACGCCATCCAGCCCTAACGTATCATTCCCATTCCTCCTTCATCATGTTTCCTTCCCCTCCCCCTCTCTCTCCTCCTCCTCCTCCTCCTCCTCCTCCTCCTCCTCCTCATCATCATCATCATCATCATCATCATATTCGTGTTCCTCGTGCAAAGTACTCCGTTTCCTCCTCGATTCTTACCTTCTTGGGGTACGCCGTCTTATCCCATACCTCTATTCCACTGCAGGCTCCTCCGCATCCCTGATCAATCCGGAATCAAAGCAACTCGTACGGGCATCGTTTTTGGATGGGCTGGTGGGGTTACGCGAAGTTTCAAGAATACGTTTGCACATGGCGGCGAAGGAATACCGTGCAAAATTTGAAAGACGACGCGAGTACTCTTGATCCCTCCCGAGCTCACCCTGCACTTACGCTGGCTGACAATACTTACGACGTGGCCACCGCACCGTTCTGGGGCCATGGAAGCCCCAGCCTCCCGAGAAGTTCTCGAAGAACGACCCGAGTCACAAAGCCGCACGCTCACCACGACTCCACACTGGCTCACCCGACGGTGTGGACACCGCACCGTGCTGGGACGTCTGATCCTCTCCGACGCCTCCCCTCCCCCATGGAGGCTAGAATAAAAGGGGGAAGCGCACCATGGACCGAGGCATGTGCGCGGAGGACGGGGGCGGCCACGGGGCGCGAGGCGCTTTGAACGAGTGTGGCCTAGATCCATATCCATATGCACTGCGCCTCCCTTTTTCCCGGGAAGGGACGCAAACAGGCCGGGGCGCAGTGGAAAGGTAGCCTTGCGGGGCCAGATGTTTGTCCATATCCACTGCGCCTTAGGGGTGCGGGGAAGGGAACCCGACACTCCGGACCCTTTAGGTTAGGGCCCTTTTTGGGCTCCTGCTGGCTTTAGGGGCCCTCTTCTTCACCTCCAATTCGACTACACGTAAGAGTGACTCTGGGCAAGAGTAAGCTTTGGTGCGTGGCTTTTTTGTGGGCCGCGGGGGGGGGCCAAACACAATCGCGCAGGACGTTACTACCGCACCGCGTTCGTCGATCGGGGGACCCCAAAGGGCCCGTACAAAAGGTCACTCTGGCGAAGGGTCACTCTTACGTGTATTGGCCCATTCAGGTCACCCCCCGTTACCACCCGCTCGACGACGGTTCCCCTCCAGGAAACCCGGCGCGCCTGCCCGAGGCTCTTCTGCGGCTTCGCCGCCTGGGCGCGGCCAGGCGTGCGCGGTCAGGGCGCTTCCGCGGGACCGTCCGAGCGCGCGAAGGGCGGAGGCGAAGCGGCGCTGGGCTGCAAAAAGGGCGCGTGCGTAGCTCGTCCTCCTCCTCCTCCTCCTCCTCCTCCTCCTCCTCCTCCTCCTCCTCTTCCTCCTCCTCCTCCTCCTCCTCCTCCTCCTCCTCCTCCTCCTCCTCCTCCTCCACCTCCTCCTCCTCCTCCTCCTCCTCCTCCTCCTCCTCCTCCTCCTC